AAGGGATTGTGTGGAGATTTTAGAAATTTCACTGATTGAAATCATGAATCAATTGTTGGGTCACTACAATTCTTTTCAGTGTATTCATAACCTCTGTAACTGAAAATGTCAAGAATATGTAAAGAGTCTATCTTCATATGATTAAAATTGAGTAGTTGTTGGCTATCAGAATTGAATAAGTGGTTGATTGATGCCATGTTTATTGAAAAAATCCGAAGAGGTATATTTCATTCATGTTTGCACTGACAATCAAATCTAGTACCTTTCTATTCAGATACAAGAAGCATCATCCACTGAGCTACCGAGTTATTAACTCTTCCAAAGGGGTGAAGATATTATTAAGCGTTTATAATTGACGGAATATACTAAAATTCATGACGTCATGTCATATTGTGTTAATCTAATCACTATGCAGAGAATGACAAATCGTATTCCTTATAGTGAAGCAATGGAAAATTACAAACTCTTACTCATAATAAAAGACTAGTATTTGAACGAAGAATATTCTTTTCTTGATTGAGATCATGAACCGATTATTGTTAGACCACCACTAAAAATCTGGAAGCACTGGACGGTCGTTTCGTCCTATTATGAGACTCCTCAGCAGTTCGCATCCATCCGTTGGATGGTCTAGTAGGCTAGGCGTTCGCGCGCGAGACTGAAGGTCCTGGGTTTGAATTCCGCGATCGAGATCGTGGATGCGCACTTTCATTGAGGAGTTCAACTATAGGACGAAACGGCCGTCCAGTGCTTCCAGGTTTCTAACGGTGGTCTAACATCTGTCGATTCATGATCTCAATCAAAAACTTGACAATCTCCACAACACCTAAATTGATCATTAATTATAATTTCCATTGAATTACTTTTCACATATTCGATGTTAGATTATTGTTAATACTTATATGATAATTATATGTTGTATAGTATACCTATATACTCATATAGTAACATGATAAGAAATTCATATGTTCATGAAGAGATCATGTGGTTACCATGGCAACATTGATTGATTGAAATACATTTGAAATAAATATTGATTAATCTAATTGAAAAGATCATTCACTTACCGAATGAATCATCAAAGAAAATAGAAAGTAATTTTTTTGAGAGAAATAAAAATTATCAATAAAATTGGCATCAATCTTGACTGTATTAACTGATTACTTCGTTCTATGTGTGTGTGTGTGTGTAGGTGCTGACACAAATATGTAAATATGTAAATACAGTGAGATGTGATACAATCATCTGTGTAACGGTATATAGGGTTATTTGAAATCATGAGCTTGATCTCTTCAGAAGATAGATCTTGAGTTCGAATCTCGTGGGTAGCGGGATCGTGGATGCGCGCTGCCACTGAGGAATCCCATACTAGGACGAAACGGTCATCCAAAGCTTCCAGGTTTTCAATGGTGGTCTAACATCAATCGGTTCACGATTTCAACCAGTGAAATTTCTAAAATCTCCACCGAACACCTTCTGATAATAATAATCATCTGCTTACTAGTGACTGATTTTAAGAGATATTCCTGGAGTTCTAGTGAGAAGCCGTTACCAGTGGAGTTCGACCAATTCTGTTGTGAGATAGTAACTCATTGAAGACGATGGTGTACGGTGGCGCAACTTCGTGGATTGGTTGAAGTTAGACATTAACACCGTTGGATGCCGGTCAGCTCAGTGGTCTAGTTAGTTAAGCGCCTATCGCGCAAGACTGATAGGTCCTGTGTTCGAATCTCGCGGAGGGGGCGGGATTGTGGATGCTCACTGCCACTGAGGAGTCCCATACTAGGACGAACAGGCCGTCCAGTGCTTTCAAGTTTCCCATGATGGTCTAGCTTTAATTGATTCATGATTTCAACCAGTGAAAATTAGAATACACAATTGCTCTATGCCATACAGTTTATTGGTTAGAATGAGTTTGGAAGCTACACAATCAACTCACACAAAGGAAAAAGGTTTAATTAACATTACAGTTGACTCATATCTTGTGTATCCAATTTACATCTATTGTAGTCATCAACTTGTGCCAGTTTCAAATATGATTAGATTCTACTACTATCAAATAAGTAAACCACAATTTCGGTATATATCGTTAACATGAAAGAGCTTCAGAGGTTATACAGTTTAAAAATCGTAGGTCCTTACTGCTGACAAGTCATAACTAGGATGAAATAGTCATACAGTCTATTTTGAATTCTATTAGTTGCTCAGTGAAAATCACTCTAAGGTTTAAGTAAGAAACGATGACTAGTGGAGTTTAACATTGTCTAGAGTAAAACAGTTGTTAATGATAGTTGTCAATGATAACCACGAAATATCAGTAACTGACTGATGTTAGAAAAGTTGACCATTTCATACCTATTAAATCTAAAGCTTAGAGTATTATTATACCGCGTATAACTTGAGCAATCGAACGCTTGAACCCTTCAAGTCCTAAATGAGAAAACAGAAAACAAGTGAAAGGATGCTATTCCAAACAGTGTCAATTATGGAACAAAACTTTCAGGTATCTATAGTTTTTAGTCCTCCAATCCGCATACAGGGGGTTATTAATATTTGTGCAAAAGAGAAACTATACATAGGGATTCTGGAATATTCTTCCAAAAGACGATTAGATGGAATATCATCGCCTGTTTCTGAGCTTCTTAAAGCTTCCTCGAGTTCACCCGTGGGCCATCCTCACAATACCAAATCTTACTTACTTACTTACTTACTTACTTACTTACTTACTTACTTACTTACTTACTTATGCCTGTTACTCCTCGTGAAGGAGCATAGGCCGCTTACCAGCATTCTCCATCCAACCCTGTCCTGGGCAATCCTTTGTAAGTTTTTCCAGTTCTTATTCATCCCTTTCATATCCATTTCTATTTCCCAACGTAATGTGTTCTCAATACCAAATCACTGATATGATAATAACGCTTTTTTTGAAGGGCTTAATGCTCTTCGTTCGATCGATGATGGGATGGTTAATTTTGTAAAGCCTTATATTAGGACAAAACAGCTATCCAGTACTCCCTTGTATTCAATGGTGTTCTAGATAAGGCAATACAATTTGAGTGTAACTGAAATAATTCCTGTATATTTTGTGACTGATTGATTCATGAATTAAGTATTGCTGTACATTGTCAACATTTGATAAAACAAACTACAAACCACTGAAATTCGTCGCCGTACACGTCTGAGAAGAAACACTGAATACATCTCGGAGTCAATTAGAAGATTTGAGCTTCACAGATGACCTAGCTCTTTTATCCCATACACAGCACTAAATGTAGATCAAGATAACTTGTGTAGCAGCAGACTATTCATCAATAGGCATCATCATACACATATAGAGAACACCAACACATTCATACTTGATTGAGAAATTCTGGACCAGGTGGAAACGTCCACATACCTAGTCTACAATATCACCGATGTTTGATAAAGCAAGAACCACATTCATACTGTTGTACAATAAATGGAACTCAACAAATATCAAAATCACAATCTTCAATACGAACATCAAAACAGTTCTACTGTATGGAGCTCAAACTTAGAGATACTGAATGTTTACTGTGGGAGAGAACAAACCATGTTCCAGTTGCTGAAAAGGAAATTATGAAAATTCATTGGAAGTGGATAGGATATACATTGAAGAAATCATCGAACTACATCATAAGTCAAGCGCTAAATTGCAATCCTGAAAGGGAACTGAAAAGAGGATGACCATAGAACACTCTATATCTATAATTGTGAACAAACATGTAAAGGATGAATACCAATTGGAAATAATTGAAAAGGGTTACCAAGGTGAGGGTTGTATGGAGAATGCTGGTAAGCATATTATGCTGCTCCATCAGTAGTAACCGGCCTAAGTAATGAAGCCATATGAAATTTAAAACTCGATACCTTAACCGTTATGATATCTGTTAATCAAGTAAATATTATTGATATTAATTATAATCAAATGATTTTCGATTATTTGTCTATTGTTATCGTAATAAGAATTCCCTTAAAGATTATTGATTTTTCTGATTGATTTTACATACTTGTTTAAACAGTATCATTGCCAATTCAATAAACTCTATTCCGGTAACCATCTTATTATTATCAACACCACCACCACCACCACCACCAAAAACAACAACAACAACACACTACTTATGTATAGAATAACTGAAATTCACACACACACGCGCGCACGCACGCACGCATACATAGATACACACATAGATGATTAGAAAAATGTACTACTAATAATGATTATTAGTAATTTACTTATCAAAATTGGTAACTATGCGCACATAGTTACTATTCAAGTTTGATAATACAAACATGTTTACTCAATTTAGTTTAATGTTATTATTATATTTAATTATTAACACGTACAATAAATAGAATAACTAACTAAATGAATGTTACATACAAATAGTTGAATGATCATATGATCATTTACAATCTGATGATTTGTTTATTTCTTTTTTTCTTTTTTTTTTTCACAATTCATTTTATGTATATAAAGTGATGTTTATCAATGAAATCATTCAATAAGTTGAGTTATTCAATTCTTCTATTCATTCAATACTTTAATACTTCAATAGTTTGACACTTCAATACTTCAACACTTCGACACTTCAGTACTTCGACACTACCATACTTTGACATTTCAATACTCTGATTACTTCGACACTTCAACAGTTCAACACTTCAACACTTCAGTACTTCGATACTTCGATACTTCAACACTTCAACACATCGACACTTCAGTACTTCAACACTTCGACACTTCAACAGTTCGACACTTTGACACATCAATACTTTGACACTTCGATACTTCGACACTTCAACACATCGACATTTCAGTACTTCAACAGTTCGACACTTTGACACATCAATACTTCGACACTTCAACAGTTCGACACTTCAACACATCGACACTTCAGTACTTCAACACATCGATAATTCAACAGTTCAACACTTCGATACATCAATATTTCCTATTTATATTCTATTCAAGAATGTCTATTAATCAATTAACTCAAGAACAATGGGATGATTTATTTCATAAATATAAATCATTACGTGAATCAAATAATATTGCATGGGATGATATAAAAAGTGCATTAGAATTAGTTGGTGTCTCTGTTGCTGGTCATGAAATAAGAGATTTATTAGGACAACAAAGAAATTGGCTTAATCCAGATGAATTTCATGAATTATATAAAAAAGCTAAAGATATGAAAGATACAACAAAAGCTATTAGTAAAGCATTATTATTAAAACATGCTGAAGATGTTAAAGTAGGTTTATATTATTATATTCTATGTTATTCTATGTTATCTATTAAGATTTTATTGTTTATTTCATGAATGTTCTTTATAGAGAATCTTAATATTGAAAGATCTAATCCATTTAACATCTATCTACTGATCTTTGATGAATATACTTACTTACTTATGCCTATTACTCGTCATGAAGGAGCATAGACCGCTCACCAACATTCTCCATCCAACCCTGTCCTGGGCGATCCTTTCCAGCTCTTTCCAATTCTTATTCATCCTTTTCATATCTGCTTCTATTTCCCGACATAATGTGTTGTTTAACCTTTCTACTTTTCGGTTCCCTTTAAGATTCCAAGTTAGCGCTTGTTTCGTGATACAGTTTGATAATTTGCGTAATGTATATCCTATCCATTTCCATCGTCATTTTCTAATTTCCTGTTCAGCTAGAAGTTGGTTTGTTCTCTCTCACAAAAGGCTATTGCTGATAGTATCCAGTCAATCGATGTTGAGTATCTTGCGTAGACATCTACTGATAAATACTTGTACATTCTTGATGGTGGTTGTTGTTGTAGTTCTCCACGTTTCAGCTCCATACAATAGATCTGCTTTGACATTCATATTGAAGATTCTGATTTTGATATTAGTTGACAGATAGTTGTTTTGAGTTCCATATATTCTTTAATTGAACAACATAGCTAAACGTATATTCAACCCGTTGACTTACCTTTATGGTACTAGGTACATATACATATATATGCCTTATCAGTGCTCGTTTTTTTGTTACGGAATATATTCCAGTTTAAGTTTAATAAATTGAGAGAATAGTGGTTCTATCTTTGAACATTTCAATAATCCTAACCAGTTCTCATGGTTATTTAATGATGTTTATTATAAACAAATGATAATAAGAATATAAAGGGAATGATTCTATTCTTTAGATATTTTATGTAACTAAGGTATTCATTAACTATGATAGTTGATAGTGGTGGGGGGGGGAGATGTGGTGTTTCTATGACCTAACAACTCGATTGTACTTATTGAATGTTTGATTTTTGAATTTCAAATAAAGAACATTCATTCGTGTTTATCTAATATATCTTAATCCAAATACATTTGTTTACACTATCATTCAAATACTTCTAACAGTTAAAGCTCTTGTAGACGAGTTCAATATCGTATTGTTTTTCAAACAATATGGTATTCTCAGCACAAAGTATTTCAATGGTTAAGATCATGAGTCAGATGAAGTTAGATCACCATGGAAAACCTAAAAACACTGAACGGCTGTTTCCCGTTTCGTCCTATTGTGGGACTCGTCTAAATAATGTACACTTTTTTTTTACACTGCCTATTACCAGTAACCACAATGTGTCTGAATGTGCTGTTTGTTATCTTGTATAGTGAAAAGTCGTGAACTTTTCACAAGTGCACCTGAATCGGTTATCTAATCAATAAACATAATGATGTATTGAGACAAACTTGCTGATATATCTAGATCGATAACAGGAACAGGTAGTTGAGATATTCAAGCAAACCGTCAACGCTTTTTCATTCATAACAATATGAATCGATATGTTTGTATGAATATTCTTTCACATTTGAATGAATCATTTATGAGAAATCAACCAGTTAGTCTATAGAGAAGATATTATTTGTGTCAATTAGATTTGAAATAATCTCAGGGATTGTATAAATGACTGAGATTATATCAAAGATATAAGGGATATATGTTGTGATTAGTCAGTCAGTCAGTAACAGTGTAGAACTTCGTACGTACGTACGTACGTACGTACATCAGTTCGAGTTGCCATACTTACCACATTAGCACAGAGATTCAGTTATCGATTCAAATCCCGTAGTGGTAGAGGTAGTGAAAGTATAAATAGTAATAGGGAACATTAGGGTTTGATAATGTTATTTAAGGAGTATAATCCAGTGGAATAGATTTGGAAAGAAAATAAAGGACATGAAGAATTCAGAAGATTAGAATTCCGAAGGACACAAACAGTGGATGCACCTGTGCACACATTGCAAACGATTTTGAGCCATGTCATTCAAGGTCTTTAACCATCGGTTGCTATCGTCTCGCGGATTCCAACTAGGTAGTCTACAACTACCAACATGGCTCAATCCACTTGTTGGTGAATTCATGGATTTGTGCCATGTTTTGGTCTGGTTTAATAATAAATCTATCGTTTAGATTAGTAGAACGTACCATAGAGTTCACTTCAATGTATATATATGTATACGTTGCTTTTGGCAGAATGTAGTATTACATTGACTAAGTTTAATACATAATTGAAACCTTCTTTCAATTTAGTTGTGTTTAACAATTGACTCATGATCTCAACTGTTCAAAGTACTACAATCTCCACAAAACCTTCTTCTGATAATAATCAACATATGCTCACTAGTGACTGACTTCAAGAGGTATATCCTGGAGTTCTAGTGAGAAGCAATGACCAGTGGAGTTCAACCGGATCACTTGTGTGATAGTAACTCACTAAAGACAATGGTGGATATGTCGCTCAATTTCGTGGATTAGTTGAACTTAGACACTAACACCGTTAGATGCCGTCCGGTTCAGTGGTCTAGTTGGTTAAGCGCCTGACGCGCAAGACTGATAGGTCCTGGGTTCGAATCCCGAAAGGCGGAGTCGGGGATGCGCACTGCTGAGGAGTTCCATAATAGAATGGAACAGACGCCCAGTGCTCCCAGGTTTTCCATGGTGTATTCAATAAACATGAATAACAATACATCTAATAAAGGAATAATCATATAATGACTGAAAGATAATCATTGCATTCAATGAAATCTGTGCATTAACTTAATTAATTTCCATTGTCTCGGATTTTGTTGTTTCTTCATTTCCATATCAATAATTCTCTGTTCTCGAACTGTTCTATTCGATCTTCTCAACTTCCTGCTGTCAGATATCCCACATTCGATTGATGATATATACTACTTATATCTGTCGATATCAGTAGCAACCACCATACAAGAACTAAGCGTTTTAAACTTAATACAGTCGATTTAGCCGAAAAACTTCTCTTTCAGTTTCTTTCATCAAAACAAATTCATTCTCATCACTGTTGTTCATTTTTCTCATGTCTATCTCCATTTCTCGGAGTAATCTGTTCTTTGATCTTTCTCTCCTTCCTCTTTGGCCTTGAGGATTCTAAGTGAGATCTTGCCTTGTAACACAGTTGGGTGATTTCCTCAATATATGTTCTATCCACTTCCAGCCCTTCTTCCTTATTTCTTCCTCTTCTGGAATCTGATTTATCCTCTCCTACAGTAGGTTGTTGTTGTTGATAGTGTCTAGTCAACGGATCCGAAGTATTTTGTGTAGACGACTGTTAATAAATACTCATGTTCTATTCCCTACATTTGGTATCGCTGCTAACCACGAGAAGGGAAGATTGCTGTTCTGCAGATGCTGTTGTGTATTTAGTGTAGACAACTGTTAATAAACACTCATGTTCTATTCCCTACATTTGGTATCGCTGCCAACCAGGTGAAGGGAAGATTGCTGTTCTGCAGATGCTGTTGTGTATTTTGTGTAGACGACTGTTAATAAATACTCATGTTCTATTCCCTACATTTGGTATCGCTGCCAACCAGGTGAAGGGAAGATTGCTGTTCTGCAGATGCTGTTGTGTATTCAGTGTAGACAACTGTTAATAAACACAATACAACTATACAATCATTGAAATAGTTCATTTATTCATTTGATTTTAATCTTTTCTTTTATTCTTTGTTTTATTTCAGTCATTTACTGTTGGTAAAAATGATACTGATACTCGACATTCAGTTAGTAAAGCAGAAGAACGAGGTTTTACACTATGGATTAATAAACGTTTGGGTCATGATATAGAATTACAAGATGGTATTCTACCAGTTGATCCATCTGTTGATGGACAATTATATCAACGATGTAAAAATGGTATATTATTATGTAAACTTGTTAATGTGGCTAGTCCACATACTATTGATGAACGAAGTATTAATAGAGGACCTAGTTTAAAAAATGTTTTTAATGTAAGTATTTCTATTGTTGTTTTTGGTTATTGTAATTGTAATCATCCTTTAGTATTATACTATAATGTAGAATAGTATTATCATTAATTTGAAAGAAGCATACTCGTAAAGGTATAACATAGGCTATAAGTCACAATTGATTGATCACTGGGTAGTGACCAATGTCATGCGTGTCTAGTCCTTATTATTAGTGCAGATCGAATGCTATCGATCATGTTGCAATGTGGCCACCAGTCTAGGTGACTCGACACCGCGGGCACTATTGTAAGATTCGATGGTGGTTGCAGGTAGTCGACAGGAAACCTTGGACCCGGGTTTCGTGCTCCTTGGCACTCGTCAGGAGGTCAGTCGCGGCCCGGATAGCTTAGTGGTAACGTCTCTGACTGTGAAGCTGGGTGACACGGGATCGAATCCGCCAGGGAGCACCAGTTCCCTCAAAGATTACAGGTACACCTTGCTGACGAGTGCCAAGTAGCACGAAACCGCGGTTCCAGGGTTTCCTGTCGACTACCTCCAACCACCATCGAATAGGCTATAAGTCTTTTGTCCTGTATCTGAATAAGTCAATCTAAGCTAGATCATCATTGAAAATCTAGAGGCTTTGGATGGCTATTACCATTGGAGTCCAATCCGTATGGGGGGGGATCGAGACAATTATCTACATCAGGCAATGAATAATGAGTTGTGCATAACCGTGGATCGATTAAAATTACACATGAACACCGTTGGATACTGGCTTAGGGGTTTGGAGTTTAAACGTTTGCACACAAGACTGAAAGTCATAGGTTAGAGTTCTATGTGTGATATCTGTTAATTTCAAGTTAACGGGGGGGTATTCTTTGGAACCGATGGTTTAATAATTTAAGTCATTTGACGATTACATTACTACTTGATTGATAAAATTCAGTCAGTAATCAGGATTAAATTCATTTTGTTTCACAAAAATGATGAAACAAATATCAGTGTATGGTTTCTGTAATTCAATTTCTACAACAACAAAAAACAGTAGAGAAACGACTCAGTGATTAAAGAGGTCCAGTTTCCAATCACGAGCTCGTTTGTTCGAGTCCCACTTTCAATATTGACAACTAAATAGAAATCATTGACCATGATATAAAATGTAACTCAATATTGATTAGATAAAATTGTACTAATTGAGTGTAATCATTTTCAGTAACTTGATTGTATCTATATATCACACTAATCCTATAGACAGTTTATGATCTAGGAATAAGGAGATTAAAAAATAGTTAAGATCATAAGTCAGTTGAATATAGATCACCATGGAAAACCTGGAAGTATTGGACGGACGTTTCGTCCTATTATGGGACTCCTCAGTGGCAGTGCCCTACTGCGGCATTCAAGTCATGATCTTAACCATTGAAATTATTATAATCTCCACAAAAACCCTTCTGATAATAAGGAGATTAGTTTAATAAGCTAAAATGTTTATTATTATTATATCTCTGATCAAGTTGGTCTGTAATCAGAACCTATTGATATTGATATTTCATATAGTACATTAAACATCATGTTTAATTAAAGTTCTATCTAAACAAATCACATTCATTCATCCAGTATCATTTACATCATTCAATAAGTACTGTCAAGGTTCTTAGTTTGTTTCTCTCCCCCCTCTCTCTCTCCCCATCTCTCTCTCTCTCTCTGTAAACAATGAATGATCGGTTTAGTTCAGTTGATCAGTTATAAGCCTTAGTTAGTAACTGTTTTTTGTAAACCAACATGTTAGACTATCATGTATAAACAATATGAATGTGACCAAGCATATCTTATTATTGATCTATGTATTTCATTTTAGTGAACTCTTGATTAAGTTGATATATTCTGTTTTGTAGTCAAATATTACAGACAGACATATATCAATGTCAGTACTTTAACCGAATAGTTTTGTTTAGTTTAATGTTAATTTAAATGAATTTTTTATGGAAAATTTCGAAAGTACTGGAATGGCTGTTTCGTCCTATTGTGAAACTCTTCAATAATGTGCATCTATGATCCTGTCTAGAGAGATTTGAACTCAGGATTTATCAGTCTTTCGCGGGTGAGCGCTTAACTCACTAGAGCAATGAATCGGTATCAAACGGTAGTAATGTCTAACTTCAACCAATCGATAAAATTGAGTTGTTCAGAACCATGAGTATCATTCATAAAGTATCTATAAACTATTTAAAGATTGAGTAGATGTAGTAGTCATGTCATTGATCATAGATATTGGTACAAGGAGGCATCAAATACATATGCGCCACACAGATCTCATTTGATATGTGTGAGGGCTGTTATACTGCCCGGATAATTTTCTTAGGGGGCCACATCTGGAGCCTTCGACCTGAAGATCTGATCCACAAGGCAGTGGAGTATCGTCAGGTGATGCAGTCCCATGGTAGCCGGTGAACATCGATTGATTCATACACCATTTGTTCCTTTAGGATACTGGAACTAGCCCATGTGTACCATTGGTTTGGGATCCGGTTAAAGCACAGGACATTCACTTTTCGTCCTCTCATTTTCGTAAATAACATCCGTAGTGTAAGAAGGCAATGAGTAGGACTTCCCTGACAGATGCTATATACGCGTGTCCATGTGAGAGTATTTCAAGAAAGAGAGAATAGACTCTCCCTACTCTCAGTTATACCAGGTCATTTGTAGGGCATATTACTACTTAACAACTATTTCGTCCCTAATATAAAACTCTTCATCAGTATACATGCTAGATGATCTATTTGTTACTTATTCATTCATTCCTATTCACTTATTACATAAATTCATTTTATTCAATTATATTAATATCTAGTTTTGTATTAAATATTCATTACATATGAAACATACATATTTTGTTCTTCTGTTATCTTATTATGTATATGTAAAGTGTTATAACTTAATCAATTACAGATTTACTATTGAAAAAAGAAAAAAAAACATTTGTTACCAAATAATGGAAGGGTGATGAATAATAGTAACAATACTAATCATATTATACACTATAGTGACAATCACTATATAAAATTACTGTTACTTTTATGGTTACCAAAAAAAAAAAAAAAAAAAAAAAAAAAAAAAAACTGAAAGAGAACACACATACCAACATAGATACATAGTGACATAGTACATAAATCAATAATTACAAGAATGTATCTTATATCAATAAATGAATTGTTTGATAAACGTTGTCAACTAAGTTATTCAATAATAAAACTATGTCAATACAATATACAGTATACATAATATAGTTGAAATCATGAATGACATCATGTAAATCATAATTACATAGTTTAGTTGTCATAGTAACATATATAGAAATCAATGAAGATAGTAGAGTATGTATGAATGAGAAAAGTAAAATTATGCTTTATCATTTTTTTAGAATAGTATCTAAGTCATCTCATTAAAATAAACTGGTTGCTATGCATGTGCATGTATGTATCTATGCGTATGGTATTTATAATTTGTGTATATGTGTCAACATTGTTCCTAATCAATAATAAAAGGTCAATATTAAAGAATGTAATAATAAATGACATTATAGAGAAATCTAAATGACGATGGTGACGGCACCATTGGATACTGTTAAGTATTCATGCACAAGGCCGATAAGTCCTAGGTTCTACTAATATCCCCAGGGCGGAATCGTGGATGTGCACTGTTGAGGAGTTGTACAATAGGATGAAATGTATCATCCAGTGCTTCTGAGGTTTCTATTATGGTCTAACTTTAATTAACTCATGAATTCAACTATTAAAATTACTAAAATCTCTATAAAACCCCCCTTCTAATCCTAAACAGTTTCTCAATATGCATATGCATATGGTATTTATAATTTGTGTATATGTGTCAACATTGTTCCTAATCAATAATAAAAGGTCAATATTAAAGAATGTAATAATAAATGACATAATCTTAACATCTTTGTATTATATGTAGATATAATTGAATAATTGAATGTTAGATGATAATGTCTATATGTGTATAGATAGAACGAATTGTCCGGTAACAAATAGATCATCATCATCATATAGATAATAAGCAAATATGGATACTAGCTAGCAATGGAATCCAGTTTGACGCGCATTTCGTCTAATTTGGGACTCATCAACTGGATGTACCTGCATCTCAGAGTTGATGTTCACTCTGGGAGGGACTCGAACCCAGTACCATTCGCTTCAAACGCCATCGCGTTATCCACTCAGCTACTGGATCTTCCCATTGATCTTGACGACTGCTATTTATCAATGTCTTATTGGCATATGCGTATACTCTGCGTATTGCCTCAATATTGCCTTAATTTACAAGCATTATAAGCAAAGATGAATAGCGGCTTGTAGTGAAATCCAGGAGGCGCGTTTCGTCCTATTTGGGACTCGTCAAATGGATATACCGCCATCGCGTTATCCACTCAGCTACTGAGACTGATCAATTTCAGTCCTAAACATCAATGGGAAGATCCAAGTAGAACAATAGAAAGTGAATTAAAGTAGATAATGTTTTCGTAACATTGATGTATAACGATTAGTGTTATTGAAATGAGTTTGATTTAGGAGTGAAAGATAAAATATTATATCATGAATTATAAATAATATTATGAGTAAAGATGAATAGTGGCTAGTAGTGGAATCCAGGTTGACGCGCATTTCGTCCTATCAGAACTTACTAGCTAAGTAGATAAAACGATGGCGTCTGAAACAAACGGTATTAGGTTTGAATCCCGGAAGGAACATTAACAATAGGATGTAGGTACATCCATATGATAAGTCCCAAATAAAATGAAACGCATGTCAAAATGAATTCCACCACTAGCCACTATCCATCTTTGCTTATAATGCTTTTGAATTACAGCAAGATCAAGGCAATACGCACAGTATGTACATATTGCCTATAAGAGATTGATCAATCATAGTCGTGAAGATCAATCGGAATATTTAAGTAAACAATATCAAATGACTTGGTTAACTTGTTTAACTTAATATGAAATAATTCACAGTCTGAAGGATACACCAATAGAGACAGATATCTACCTCAGTACAATGGAAGATGATCGCGCAATTTCATGAATTGGTTGACATTAGACATTAACATCATTAAATACTGAATCAGTGGTCCAGTAGGTTAAGCGTTTGTGTGCGCTCGAGACCGAAGGCTCTTGGTTCGAATCCCATAGGGTGGTATCATAAATGTGCATTGTTGAGAAGTCTCACAATAGGACGAAACAGCTGTTCATGACCTAACATCAAACTGGTTCATTATCTCAATCAAGAATAATCAGTATCATCCATTATCATCATCATCATCATCATCATCATCATCATCATCATCATCATCATCATCATTCATTCATTCATTCATTCATTCATTCATTCATTCATTCATTCATTCATTCATTCATTCATTCATTCATTCATTCATTCTTTTTATCTTTTTATTTTGTACATATATAGGTTCATGAAAATCTTACATTAGCTGTCAATTCAGCTGCTTCTATTGGTTGTTGTGTAGTAAACACTGGTCCAGAAGATATTATGCAAGGTAAACGACATATTGTACTAGGATTAATTTGGCAATTAATACGTCGTGGATTAATCGATACAATTACATTAAACAAACATAAAGAACTAATAGCATTATTACATGATGGTGAAACTGCTGAAGATTTATCTACATTAAAACCAGAAGAATTATTAATGCGTTGGGTGAATTATCATTTACATCGTGCTGGTTGTGATAGACGTATTACAAATTTTAATACAGATTTAGCTGATTCAGTTGTTTATGCACATTTAATGGAACAAATTGTACCAATTGATAAACGTTGTAAATTAATGTCAGCTAGTGAAATATTAAGTTCAACAAGTCGTCAAGAAAGAGCAATGAATGTATTAAATAATAATGAAACATTAGGTACACCATTTACATTATCACCAGAAGATATTTATTTAGCTGGTGAAAAAAATAATGATAATCGTGATCGTTTAAATTTAGCATTTTTAGCAACATTATTTAATATGTATCCTGGATTAGATACTAGACGTGATGATTTTATTATAGAAGGTGAAACAATTGAAGAAAGAACTTATAGAAATTGGATTAATTCACTTGGTGTTAAACCATATGTTACACATTTATATACAGATCTTAGTAATGGTTTAATATTATTACAATTATTTGAAAAAATTAAACCTGGTTCAATTGATTGGTCATTAGTAGATCAAGATTTTGATCCAAAACGACGTTTATTTCAAGAAACTGGTAATTGTAATTTAGTCATTGATTCAGCTCAATCAATGAATATACGTTTTGTTAATGTTAGTGGAAAAGATATACAAAAACGTGATCGGAAATTAGTATTAGGTGTTTGTTTTACATTAATGCAAGCTTATATATTCAAATTACTACATGAAGTAAGTTTTATGATGAATTGATATATATATATATATATATATATATATATATATATATATATATATATATATATATATTGATTTTTATTATTAAGATTGTACTTCTTGAAATCTACTCCTAGACAAGATGATATTATCAGTCTAGATGGTCGATCAATGGATGAAGATTCATAATTCCATGTTGTACCTGTTGTCTAACTTCAGCATTCTTTAAGAATGGGACTAACTTAATCCTAGAGAATTATCGTCTGTATATATATACATTTCAGTCATCAATAGTCTTACTAATATATATTTATCCAAATAACTAATCAGATAATCAGTTACAATATAGGACCAGGTTATATATATATATATATCCATTGGTCCAAGTTGTCAAACTTCATTAGTATGATAAGATGAACACTAAACTCATAGAAGTAGTCACTTCAATGATAGTAATGTATAAAAGAAAGATTGTGTATGAGGATATAATATAGGAAGAAAGAATTAGTTGGTAAAAAGAAAGGTAGAAATCAATTTCAATCGCACGGTTTAAAGGAAGACAGAGAGTGTATATACTTACGACACTGTGATTGATTCTGAGTCATATCACCAATAATCTCCAACCATTGGTTACGATAGTCACACGGACTCCAAACAAGTAGTGTGCATCTATTAACATGGTTCAGACTAGAAGTTAGTAACTTCAAGCACTGATGTCATGTTTTGGTTGGGTTGCCCCTCCTCCTCAACTTTCTTCTAACTATCTTCAACACTAATCAGCATTACGTGTCGTGGTAATCAGTGTTCAGGCATAGATAACCCATGGTCTAACCATCCTCGTGTATGGAATATCAGAACATTATCAACTGATTTACCATCATTCCCTAATACCCTAACTCTAACCTCACTAATACTTCAATGAATAGTTTTGCTTCAAGTGGGTTACAGACATCCAAGATGTAATTTTATGTATAATTCTAAACTATTTAAACTAAATTATTCTAACTCTTCATTAAAAGATCCAACCATCAGCAGGGAAGCAATCAACACTACATAAGAAATGGTTTCTAATCATCTAAAACTGATGTTTAGTCGTAGATTTAGTCACCTCACAGTGAAACAAGATCAAACATGATTCATCAATATTCAATCATTTAATCATGTTCAGATATTGATTCTGTTTATAGTATCAAAATAAGCCATTTAGAATGAAATAAAATCAATATACATAGTATGATACTGTGTACGTTTATCAATATTGAACTGTGATAAGGGGTCTTGTGGAGATTTTAGTAATTTCAATACTTGAAATCATGAGTCAATTGAAGCTAGACTACCATGAAAAAACCTGGAAGCATTAGACGGCCGTTTCGTCCTGGTATGGGACTCCTCAGCATTGCGCATCCACAATCCCACCACATGAGGGATTCGACCCCAGGACGAAACGGTCATCCAGTGCTTCCAGGTTTTCCATAGGGGTCTTAGCTTCAATTAATTCATGATATCAACTATTGAAATAAACATGTTTACTTTAAAATATCATCGGTTCAAATCATCAATTTATCAAGAATATTGATTATCAACAACCGTTAAAAAAGTGATAAGAATTGGCATATTGTTTAAACGAATCAATTCAATGAAATATCTAGGTTACAAGTTTATTCATGCTTTGACAAAGAATAAATAGATGATCACTCTGCCAAAAACAAAAAAAGTTTGCTACTTTCTTTAATGAAACTAAAAAACAAAACAAAACAAAACAAACAGATTGAATCATATTCATATGGTATTATTCATTTAAATGTTCTCATTGATGTTTAAGGTCTGAAAAAACTGATGAATCTTTTATTGGCATAGGTGCATACTCTATGTATTGCTTTGATAGTACTTCAAGTCATAAGTACTCTAGAACTTGAACCCAATGCTGTTCACTTCTATTGTGGAACGCGACTGGTGGCTACTCTAAATTCTACCGATTGATCAACTTTAGATATCCTTGTACATCCCCAATACTATTCCCTAATCTCCAATATATCAGTACACGAACCATCAGATGAAAATTGTTTATGGGTTCAGGAGAGGAAGAATAATAATACATTACAGACAAATGCATATTTATACAGTTAGGAGGACCATGAATATTGGCCAATAGGAAAATGACATGGGAAATAAATATTGACCAATAGGAAAATGAAACGTGAATAAATATAGACCAATAAGAAAATGACGCGTGAATAAATATAGACCAATAGGGAAATGACACGGGAAATAAATATCGACCAATAGGAAAATGACACGTGGAATAAATATTGACCAATAGGAAAATGACATCATTTTAGGTTCGTGGCTAGCATTAGACTTAACAGGATAATTTTTGGGCTATTCCAACAACTTCAAACACTATCGCATTATCCATTTAGCTAAAATGTCATGATAATCACTTACTTGTGTAATGGAACAAAATTAAAAATCACTTGATTTTGTTTACTTGAATCTTTTTTATTAATGTGATGACTATCAGGACTCAGTAGCTAAGTGGATAACATGATGACGTTCAAAGCAAACGGTACTGAGTTCGTGTCCAACATCAACTTTGAAATACAGTTATATCCAGCTCATGAATGAGATTGGACAGAAAATAAATGATGTTTGACACACACTAAATCAATAATAGAGAAATTGAAATACTTCAAAGAGATTTTCTTAACTTAACCAATGTAAATAGACTTGATAGAATTCCTTATTGATTACTGACACGCAGCTATGTATATTGGCCACTAATGGATAAGGATATTGGAAGTATTGTAAACAAATATCCACAAGCTGCAAAATCGCCACAGACAATACAGTCATCTCTATGTCCAACTGTAGGAAAGCCATGGTCCCGTGTTCATGCTGATTTTTTTTCGTCAAATAAATGGTCAATACTTTCTTATTATCATCGACTTATTTACAAAATGGCTAGACATTTATTTAATGTCTCGGACCTTATCGATCTCAACAATAGCGGTGTTGAATAGGCTTTTCAGGTAGTTTGGTTTTCCGGAAACACTAGTCACAGACAAGAGACCTTTCTTCATATTGGAAATCTTCTCAAACTTCTGTATAAAGAACTCAGTTTCACACATTAAGTCATTGCCCCACCATTTTTGGTCAAAAGGTCAAGCTGAGAGTTTCGTCGATACCTTCAGGCGAGCTCTCATCAAGTCACAAGACGAGGGCACAACGGAAAAGTTCATTTAGAATTTCCTGAAGACATACAGAACAACCTCGAATCCAGCTTCACCTAACGGTATCTCCCCTGCCGAATCAATAGTCGGAAGGAAGATTCGGACTACATTTGATGGAATATATTCACAGAGAAGAAGACGGGACTATAAACTCAAAGTGAACGGAGTTATTCGTCAGTTTCCTAATGAGTTACCAGTATGTGTAAGAAACCTACCACATTGAGGACCAACATGGGTAGCGGGCATTATTGTAAGAATAATAAATGAAGTGATGTACGAAATTGATATTCGAGTTAAGCGCCTGAAGAGATACAAAATGGCATACTTGACAGACGATTAAATTCAGATAGGGGATCTTCTAGCTCGAATCTGCAAATAGATTATTTGATTGATACAGTCAGTTGGAAGCATCAAGATCAGCGCAGAAGATGTAATGACCAGATTCAGAAAAAACTGTCAACACTTTCAGCTAAATCCAGTTAGCAGGACTAATTTTTCCGAAGGGAATGATGATATGGAGAGTCAACCAAAAGTGGCCTAATGAGAAGGTCAATCAATAGCAATCAGAACTGACCCAGAGGTTAAATGAATTTCCTTGAGGTTAAAATGGGTTAATTTCACAAGGAGTAGTAGTGAATTGTGGGGGGGGGGGTTAGTGCGTAGTGTACCATGTATCAGTATCAGATTTTGGAACAGTGCACATCACAGCAATATAACTATTTAAAACTCATTTTATTCCATGTTTTATAAGTAGATTAATAAATTTATATTTTCATTAATTGAGATCATAAGTTAATTAAAGTTAGACCACCATGAAATACCTGGAAGCACTGGACGGTCGTTTTGTCCTATTGTGAGACTCCTCAGCAGTGCGCATCCACGACCTCACCCCGTGCGAGATTTGCACCTAAGATTTATCAGTCTCGCACGCGAGCGCTTAACCTCTAGACTACTGAGCTGGTCGGCATCTAAAGGTGTTAGTATTTAAGTTCAACTAATCCACCAAATTGAACGACATATCCACCATTGTCTTCAGTGAGTTACTATCTCACAACAGACCTGATTGAAATTCACTGGTCACTGGTCAACTGACTCATGATCTTAATCATTGTAATTACTATAATATCCACAAAACCCCCTTCTGATATTAATCAACATATGCTCACTAGTGAATGGCTTCAAGAGATGTATCCTGGAGTTCTAGTGAGAAGTAGTGAGTGACCATTGGAGTTTAACCAGATCTATTGTGAAATAGTAACTGACTGAAGACAATAATGGATATATCGTTCAATTTTGTGGATTACTCGAACTTAGACATTAACATGATTGGATACCGGCCCGTTCAGTAGTCTAATGGTTAAATGCTCGTGCGCGAAACCAGTAAATCCTGAGTTCATATCTCGCAAGTGGGCAAGATCATACATGTGCACTAACAGTGAAAAGTTCCACAATACGATGAAATGATCGTCAAGTACTTCCACATTCTCTATGATGATCTAGCTTCAATTGACTCATAATTTTAACTATTGAAATTTATATTTATTCATATAATTCTTGATTGATTTTAGGTTACACCAGGTGGTATTGATATACCACATGATGATCGTGATATATTAACATGGGTTAATGGACAAATGAATGAAGCTAAAGCTAAACCAATACATAGTTTTAGAGATCCTTCATTAGCTACCGGTATACCTATATTACAATTATTAGAACATATTAAACCAAATTCAACTAATAAAGAAATATGGTTAGGTAATAATGTAGATGATGCATCTATACGTCAATATGCTATATCATGTTGTCATAAAGCTGGTGCTAGAGTATTTACATTACCGGAACATCTTGAAGAATTAAATGGTAAAATGATTTTAACATTATTTGCATCATTACAATTATTATATTATAATCTTAAACAAAAAGCTGAAAATAAACATAATCGTATTAAAAATACAGAATTAAAATGGTTAAAATTAAATGAAGATAATAATAAGATAAATGGAACAGAATAAGAAAAAAAAAAGAAAAACAAAAAAAGAAAAACAAAAAAGAAAAACTTTTCTCTTATTAATCTTCAATAACTGTTAGCTTTTCCTTTTTCTTTACGTTTCTTTATCTTTTCTTTTCTCTCTTTTTTCTTTTAAAACACTGACATTCACCATTGATCTTCGATGACTGTTAGTTCTATCCTTTCTTTACCTTTTTTTCTTTTCTTTTCTCTCTTTTTTCTTTTAAAACACTGACATTCATCATTGATCTTCGATGACTGTTAGTTTTATTATTTCTTTTCTTTTCTTTCTTTTCTTCTTTCTTCTTTCCTTTTAAACATTCATATTCATCATTGATCTTCGATGACTGTTAGTTCTACCCTTTCTTTGCCTTTTTTCTTTTCTTTTCTCTCTTTTTTCTTTTAAAACATTGACATTCATCATTGATCTTTGATTGTTAGTTTTATTCTTTCTTTTCTCCTTTCCTCTTTCTTTTTAAACATTCACATTGATCACTGATCCTTAATGACTGTTGGTTTTTTTCTTTTCTTTTCTCTCTTTTTTCTTTTTAAACATTGACATTCATCATTGATCTTCGATGACTGTTAGTTTTTAATCCTTTCTTTTCTTTTCTTTTCTTTTCTTTCTTTTCTTCTTTCGTCTTTCTTTTTAAACATTCACATTGATCACTGATCCTTAATGACTGTTGGTTTTTTTCTTTACTTTTCTTTTCTCTCTTTTTTCTTTTAAAACATTGACATTCATTATTAATCATCAATGACGGTTAGTTTTATCTTTTCTTTTCTTCTCTTTTTTTCTTTCTTTTCTTCTTTCTTTATTTTTTCTTTTTAAACATTCACATGAATATATTGTAATTCATATTCATTCTCAACAAAAAAATAATAGAAGAAAAAGAAGAGGAGGAAAAAAAAAGAAAGAGTCCATTTTATTGTTAAGGATTGAATGAATCAAATTGTTTATAGAAAAAAAAATTGTTTTTTTTTTAAAATTTTTTTCTCTAAAAACACAAAAAATAAAACAAACAAAAAATTTAATTGATTTCTGATGGACATAATTTTTTTTCTTCTGATTTTGGTTACTAAGTGACTTTATTTCATTTTGATAGATCCCATTGTTTAGTAAAGAAAAAAGAGGGATACAAGTGAAATCAATAACTCACTTGTTTGATAATGTAACCTTCTTTCTTTTTTTTGTTTTTTTTTCCTTTTTTTTCTATTCTCTTCAAAAAGGTAAACTTCATTTGAATTGTTTGTTTTTTTTTTTTTTTTTTGGTGATAAAATTAATTAGCCAAATAAATTATATATTTTTATTAAACAAATGATTGTCATTCTAAATATAGTTTTACAACATATTATCTAGTAATGATACATAGTCATTAAATCTGTCAACATTAGCCCCTTTAATGTCCTGGTACGGTGAAAAGTGGGTAGATTCAGCACAGGATGATGATTTCATTGTAGTATGGAACTTTACATTAGTGAGTTTCTATAATCTAACATGAAGGTTTTCAAAACTAGGACCTATCAGTCAAAGATGAAAAGGACATCTAATGCTTTCAAGTTCACTAGGATGGTCTAGTTTACTATAACTCATTAATTCAACTAATAAAATTATTAGAATCTTCATTAAAAAAACTTCATTCTGATATCCGTCACAATAAACATATCGTAACTTTTGAACAACTAACTATTCAGAGAATAATCATAATCAGAATGTATTTTGTGGAGATTTTTACAATTTCAATGGTTATGATCATGAGTCAGTTGAAGCTAGATCATCATGGAAAACCTGGGGGGGGGCGAGGTCGTAGATGCTAACTGCTGAGGAGTCCCACAATAGGACGAAACAGCCGTCCACTGCTTCCAGGTTTTCCATGGTTGTGGTCTAGCTTCAACTGACTCATGATCTTAACCATTGAAATTGTTCACAGAATGATTATATAAAAAGATTTATGTAAGTATCAAATAAATATATCATTCAGTATATATAACAAATGTTGGTGAATTGATTCAGATGAAATGAAACAACATCATCGTTAGTGACAGTAAAACGAATAGTTTACTCCCTCAATGGAAAATCCTATTTCACTTACTATGCGTATTTGTCATAGCCTCACAGTACTATTCAATCACTTTGGAATTTCCCATTCTATCAACACAAAATACCTCCATTAGTTACAGTTTCTATTTTATTTTATTTCAACACATAGATATTGGTACAAGAAGACACCAAATATATATGCGAAACACAGATTTCATTTGATATGTGTGACGGATGTGATACTAGATGCGTGCCCAAATCGAATCAGGTGGTTTTCTTAGAAGGACCATACCCTGAGCCTTCGATCTGAAGATCTGATCCACAAGGTAGTGGAGCATCGTAAGGAGATGCAGTTCCATGGTAGCCGGTGAGCAACAATTGGTTCATACGCCATTTGTTCACTCAGGATACTGGAGTCAACCCATGTGCACCATTGGTTTGTGATCCGGTTAAAGCACCCTGGTACGGTCGAGAGTGCAGAGAGTCCGCTCTCCCTCTCGAAATGCTCTCACGTGACCACGCGTTTATAGCTTCTACCAGGGAAATCCTACTCACTGCCTTCTCACATCACGGGTGTTGTTTACGAAAATCAGAGGACGAAAAGTGAATGTCCAGAGAATTACTTCCAGTAATCTGTTTACATTCTATAATAAGAGATCTTCTTTAATAAGCCTAAACTGTTTAATACTTCACAGATCCATCATGAAGAGAATAAATTATGGTGATAACTTAAAGGCTATCCACAATAAACAGCAGTGAAATACATCACATACATATAAATATTTATAAAGTATAAACACTGATCAAAATCTAATGTAAAGTAATGAGTTTCAATTGGGAATACAATTGAATTCATAAAAAAATCTAAACAATGTTCAATGTATTCGAGATAATCATGTCAAACATTGGTGATGGTACCTACAAACTCATCGCTACCAAATGCCGTGATACGGTCGAGGGTGGGGAGATTCAGCTCTCCAACGAAAAATTCTCACACATCACCACCAGTATATAGCTACTGTCACAGAAGTCCAACTCACTGCATTCTCGTAGCAGGGATGTTGTTCGCGAAATTGAGAGGATGAAAAACGAGTGTCCGGTGCATGAAACGAGTTGATGGATATTGAAGGGGAGTTGGAAAAATCTGATTCAAAACAAATGGTGCACTTGGGATTCAAGATTTTGAGTGAACAAATGGCATCTGAACCAATTGTTGGTCACTGGTTAACATGAGACTGAATTTGATGACGTTGTTCCATTTCCTTGTGAATCAGACCTTCAAGTCAAAGGATCCGGTTGTGATCCTCTAAGAAAACAACATTTCTCGATCTGAGCATCCAGTTAATGTCAATATCACAGACCACACACAAATCGAGTAACTTGTGTGGTGTATATGTATTCGTTGCCCCTATGTACCAATATTTATGTGTCCAAATAAGTAAATAAATAGCACAGTTTTGACGTCAGTTAGATTGGACAGTGTTACTGACGGGCTCATCACTTTTGTAGCTCCTGTATCTGACTCTAGTTTGATCATTGCTATTGATATACACACATCGCCGATTCTCGTCTATAATTATCGACTGAATCCGCTTTAGTAAATAACGGAATTAAATAAGTCAAATAAGAGAATGAATTTTGAATATGTATATTTCATACACTGATTATTGGTTTGAACAGACAATCAAAGAGACGAACCAAAGAGGGAAGAACGAAACAGATTGTAGAAATGAAGTGAGCCAATACTTTTGATTCAAATGAAACATTTAGTGGGATCCTTTATTTTATTGTCATTTAGATCAGACGATGTTTTTCAAAGGGATTACCACTTTAGTGACCAGAAATCTGACTCTAATTTAATCGTATAAATAATGGTTGTCGAAATATATATGTCGCTTATCCTCGTATATAATCACTGACTTAAATCGCGTTAGTCAATAACGGAATTAAATAAGTCAAATCACGAGAATGGACTTTTGGATACATATATTTTGTATATGAAGCGAATGGAACAGTGAGAGAAGTGAAACGATGCGCAGTGGAGTCGGCGGGTGAGTCAACTCCCCTTTAACCAAACGTTAATCAATATTTATAAGCACACAAAAATAGACTACAGTCATATGATGGGTAATGGGATAAAAAGTGTACACATACATACGTTCATATAAAAACAGTCAAAGTTTTTATAAGCAAATCATTAACAAGGTCAAAATGTAGCTTGAGAAGAATGGATTTATTGGCTTGTCCACATGCTAGAATAAGTTATGCAGGTTTAACATCGTAACTGACACCACACACACACACACCACAGTAGTCGTTATTATTATTATTGTTATTATTCTGTATGAGAAAACGGTTACTATCGCAACAGATTACTGATCTGAACATGGTAGAGCATCAGAATAACTTGGAAATAACACATGACTGATTCGACTTACGATTGAAATATTTCGATATCGAATTTCATCGAAAGATATTAACAGAATGATTACTATCAGTTCTTCTGAATAAATTTATGGGTCATACGAATAAAGTGATATATATGACCCTGTTAGTCTTACTTATCTAGATACTTTTCAATATCATCAATACAATGACTTCTTAATCGATAGTACCTATTTATTTTAGATTGTTTTGCTCATATACGAATTTATAATAGTATCTGAAATCAATTTCAGTTCTAAACATCAATGGAAGATTAAACTTCACCCCATTACACAAGCAAGTGGATATCAAGACTCAGTAGCTGAGTGGATAACGTAATGGTGTTTGAAACGAATGATACTGGGTTCAAGTCCCTCTCAGAGTGAATATCAACTGTGAGATGCAGGTACATCCAGTTGACGAGTCGCAAATAGGACGAAAAGCGCTTCCTGGATTCCATTGCTAGCCACTATATATCTTTGCTTATAATGCTTGTAAATTAAGTCAACAACCAAACAATACGCACAGTATGCACATATATGCCATTAAGAGACTGATCAATTTCAGTCTTAAACCTTAATGGGAAGATTTAAGTAAACCATTGCGAAGTGAATTGACCTTCACCCCATTGCACAATCAAGTGTCTATCAGAACACAGTAGCTGAATGGATAACGCGATGGTGTCTGAAGCCATTGGTACTGGGTTCGAGTCACTCTCAAAGTGAATATCAACTCTGAAATGCAGGTACATCCAGTTGATGAGTCCCAAATAGGACGAAACGCGCATTGAACTGGATTCCATTGCTAGCCACTATCCATGATGGCTTATGATCACTGTATTAATGCTTTTGATAACTTCATATAATGATGACAATTTGTTTATGTAAAATGTGAATGTGCTTAGTTATTCTAGATATTTTCACTTTATATGATCATACAAAGATATGGATTGATTAAAAGTCACTATAGGATATATGCTGTTATTCTATTGTTATATTAGTTTCCTTTGAAGTTTCTAAACTTTACATACTGTAGTGTCTGTCATTATGTTAAGCCCAAATACCTTATTATTCTAACTTCCGGACAGCCCATTCTATTCATTCTATTTGAGTCACATCTGACCTTGTTAATTATTCGCTTATCAATGTCTTGACTGTCTTTATATGAACGCGTAGGTGTATGCACACTTCTTATCCCGTTACTCATCACATGTTTGTAATTTATTTTTGTGGGCTTATAAATATTGATTAACGCTTTGTTAAAAGGGAGAGTTGGCTTACCAGCCATCTCCACCGCTCGTCAATTTTGCTTCGCTTTCTTCTCTTCGCGTCGTTCTCCCGTTCGTTTGTCTAATCAACAATTATACAAAATATATCCATTCAAAACTCCATTCCCGTTATTTGACTTATTTAATTCCGTTATTAACTAACGCGATTTAAGTCAATGATTATTTACCAGGATAGACGATAGCAACCAATTATTACGATCAAATTGGAGTCAGATCACGGGCCACTAAAATACTTTTGAAACCGTCTAATTTGAATGGAAGTTCAATAATAAACCATAAAGATATCTATAATCAAATTATCTGACTAAATAAGATAATCATTTAATAATTGAATTCATGATTCAATTGAAGCTAGATCACCATGGAAAACCTGTATAAATTGAAGCTAGACAGGTTGAAATTAGACATTAACATTGTTAGATGCTGGCCAACTCAGTAGTTTAGAGATAAATTGTTCGCACATGAGACGGATAGGTCATAGGTTCGAATCTCGTGGAGTTGGATCATGGATGTGCACTGTTGAGGTATTCCATACTAGAACGAAAAAGCCGTTCGTCACTTTCAGATTTTCCATGATGGTCGTGGGTTCAAATCTCATGGGTTTGGATCATGGATGTGCACTGCTGAGCTGTTCCATACTAGAACGAAATGGCCATTCATCACTTCCAGATTTTCCATGATGGTCTTGGATTCCAATCTCGTCAGGTGGGATCGTAGATGTGCACTACTGAGCTGTTCAATACTAGGACGAAAACATCATCCAGTGATTAAGAATATGAATAATCTTTGATAAAACATCAAAGAAACATTCATTATTCTCTATTATTGTCTTCGTTTCAAAAATGGATCTCATTCTATAATGAAAATAATCTTTAAGATTTATTAGTTTAATTACAATTGATATGATTCTATCTATCTGTCAATTATGTGAAAATAGTTAATAATGGAGATCTTTTTCTTAAAATTAATAACAATGTCACATTTTATACAAAACATAAGTACTTTCCAAATATTTTTGTCTTTGATCTTATTTAGTTTTAAATAACAGTAATATGAAAAAGAAGAAGAAGAAGAAGAAGAATGTAATCGGTATTATGATCATCTATTTCTAGGGTTTAGAAATCTAGAATCTCTTTGCCAGAATAATAAATTTCATATTGGATTATAAAAAGAGTAGTTTGTGGAGAGTTTTAGTAAGTTATTAGCTGAATTATTGAGTCGATTGTAGTTAAGCCATCATGGAAAATCTAGAAATAACGAATGATCTTTTTTTGTCCTAGTATAGGACTCCTCAATAGTGTACATGTATGATATCAGCCCACGGGATTCGAAACTACGACGTGTTAATCTCGCAAAAGAACGTTTAAAATTTAGACTACCAAGTTGGCCGGCATCCAACAATGTTAATGTTCAACTTCAACCAATTCACGAAATCTTGCCATTGTCTACTATCTCAAGGGGTTGGATCGTGGATGTCCACTGCTGAAGAGTCTCATACGAAGATGAAAAGGTCGTTCGTTGTTTCCAGATTTTTCATGGTGCTTTAGTTACAATTAACTCAAGAATTCAAATATTAAAATTATAATAATCTTGATTGATTATCAACGATTATTTCATTTATATCAAAGAGGTATGAAAGTATGTTATTTATTTAGGTTTTTTGATATGGTGTTTCTTGTTGACAGGTCTAAAGGGATTATTATTATTATTATTATTCTATATAGAAAGACAGATATTTTACGATCCATTTCAACGAAACGGTAGACAAGTCAGTAACTGAAAAGCATACGAATAACTAACAGATAGAGGATCACAACCGGATCCTTTGACTTGAAGGTCTGATTCACAAGGAAATGGAACAACGTCATCAAATTCAGTCTCATGTTAACCAGTGACCAACAATTGGTTCATATGCCATTTGTTCACTCAAAATCTTCAATCCCAAGTGCACCATTTGTTTTGAATCAGATTTTTCCAACTCCCCTTCAATATCCATCAACGCGTTTCATGCACCGGACACTCGTTTTTCATCCTCTGAATTTCGCGAACAACATCTGTGCTACGAGAATGCAGTGAGTTGGATTTCTGTGACAGTAGCTATATACTGGTGGTGATGTGTGAGAATTTTCCGACGGAGAGCTGAATCTCCTCACCCTCGACCGTACCATGGCATTTGGTAGCGATGAGTTTGTAGGTACCATCACCAATGTTTGACATGATTATCTCGAATACATTGAACATTGATTAGATTCTTTTTTGTGAATTGAATTGTATATTCCTAATTGAAACTCATTACTTTACATTAGATTTTGATCGGTGTTTGTACTTTATAAATATTTATATGTATGTGATGTATTTGACTGCTGTTTATTGTGGATAGCCTTTAAGTTATCACCATAATTTATTCTCTTCATGATGGACCTGTGAAGTATTAAACAGTTTAGGCTTATTGAAGAAGATGTGTTATTATAGAATGTAAACAGATTACTGGAAGTAATTCTCTGGACATTCACTTTTCGTCCTCTGATTTTCGTAAACAACACCCGTGATGTGAGAAGGCAGTGAGTAGGATTTCCCTGGTAGAAGCTATACACACGTGGTCATGTGAGAGCATTTCGAGAGGGAGATCGGACTCTCTCCACTCTCGACCGTACCAGGGTGCTTTAACCGGATCACAAACCAATGGTGCACATGGGCAGACTCCAGTATCCTGAGTGAACAAATGGCGTATGAACCAATTGTTGCTCACTGGCTTCCATGGAACTGCATCTCCTTATGATGCTCCACTACCTTGTGGATCAGATCTTCAGATCGAAGACTCAGACTATGGTCCTTCTAAGAAAACCACCTGATTCGATTTGGGCAAGCATGTAGTATCACATCCGTCACACATATCAAATGAAATCTGTGTTTCGCATATATATTTGGTGTCTTCTTGAACCAATATCTATGTGTTGAAATAAAATAAAATAGAAACTGGAACTGATGGAGATATTTTGTGTTGATAGAATGGGAAATTCCAAAGTGATTGAATAGTACTGTGAGGCTATGACAAATACGCATAGTAAGTGAAATAGGATTTTCCATTGAGGGAGTAAACTATTCGTTTTACTGTCACTAACGATGATGTTGTTTCATTTCATCTGAATCACTTCACCAACATTTGTTATATATACTGAATGATATATTTATTTGATACTTACATAAATCGCTTTATATAATCATTCTGTGAACAATTTCAATGGTTAAGATCATGAGTCAATTGAAGCTAGACCACAACCATGGAAAACCTGGAAGAACTGAACGTGCGTTTCGTCCTATTGTGGGACTCCTCAGCAGTGAGCATCCATGATCTCGCCCCCCCCAGGTTTTCCATGATGATCTAGCTTCAACTGACTCATGATCATAACCATTGAAATTGTAAAAATCTCCACAAAATACATTCTGATTATTATTATTCTCTGAATAGTTAGTTGATCCAAAGTTAGAATATGTATATTGTGACGGATATCAGAATGAAGTTTTTTTAATGAAGATTCTAATAATTTTATTAGTTGAATTAATGAGTTATAGTAAACTAGAACAATCATCAAGAACCTGGAAACAACAGACGTCCATTTCATCCTAGAGTTTAAGAATTTACATACAAATCCGATAGGTCCTGAATTCGAAACCCACATACGGAATCATAGGCGCGTATTGATGAATAGTTCCATCCTACAATGAAATCACCATCCAAGGCTTTCATGTTTTGTTTTTTTTTTTCATGGTAGTTTAGCTCTTAAATAATTCAGCATTAAATTCAACGACATAACATAAACACGCTTTATTATTTACTAAGAAAACAATAAAACAATAATATATAGATTAACAGAAAACAACAAAATCAATATTGAACTAACCATTTTATCACAACTAGGAAAAGAACAAGAACAAAAACAAAAACAAAAACAAAAAAACAAAAAAAAAAACAAAAAAAGAGAGAATAATATTAAAACAAAATTTATGAGAGAAAAGTTTTAAAGAAAAGAAAAATCAATAATAATATAAAGGGTAAAGATGAAAGAATAGTTTAAATGTTGTATAACATATATCTATATTGTGTTACCATGGCAACCTGTGAAAGATAATCTTTAGGTGTGAATGTTATTTTACTTTTTTTACACTTTGATTATATTTTAGATAATTAGACAAAAAAAATGTGGGAAAAAAACGGTTTTGTTTTTGTGTGTGTGTGTTTTTGTTTGATTCGATATGGATTAGTAACCGTAACTCTAACCCTAACCCTACTAGTTACTATGCCATTTTGATATTGATATCCCAAGAAGAAAATAAGGATATGGATCACTTGATTTAATTGATTTTGATTCAATGTAAAATAGAATGAATAAATTCTGGATAAGTTACAGGTATTTTTTGTTTTATTAATGATGTTATGGAAGATGCCGATGATGCTGATGATGAGGAGGAGGAGGAGGAGAAGGAGGAGGAGAAGGAGGAGGAGGAGGAAGAGCAGGAAGAGGAAGAAGAAGAAGAAGAAGAACAAACTGAAAACGATGATGATGATGATGATGATGATGAGGAGGAGGAGGAGGAGAAGGAGGAGGATAATTTTGAACGATGAAACTCATTATGTATCATTTCAAAACAATTTAATGAATTATTTAAACAAGATATTTGATTATCAATTGTATGATTGATACAATTTGATGAAATATGTTTCATTATTATATCAAATGTATTATGTAATAAATTTTTTGTATTTTTATCATAATCACTAAGGGTAATGATATAATTCAATGTTTGATTATTATCATTCATATAGTTATATAACTTCTCATTATTATATTCTATATTATTTATTGAATGAATAGATGAACTTATTTCATTATTGAATATTGAAACATTTGTTAATTCATCTTTATCATTTAAAATCGATTCTATATTTAATAAAGAATAGATATTATTATGTAATGAATAATCATAATTATGATTATTATTCATCATATTACTATCTATAGTTGAAGTAGTAGTATTAGTAGTGGTCATAGTAGTAGTAGTAGTAGTAGTAGTAGTAGTAGTAGTAGTAGTAGTAGTAGTAGTAGTAGTAGTAGTAGTAGTAGTAATCATAGTAGTCATAGTAGTCAAAGTAGTATTAGTATTAGTATAAGTATGAGTAGTATCATGATTAATCATGTGATTAGTTTCCATAGATATGGTTACATAATTATTATGATCATATGATGATGATGATGATGTCATTGGTAGAAATATTGTTTCATTTATATCATTAGGATTACATAATTGATTCATTGAATCATTCAATGTATTATATTCTGTTTTAATTTTATTGAAAATTGAATTACTATCAATATCATCATTAGTGTAATCATCTAGAAATGAAAACAAGGATTTCGTGTTTATAAAGTATACATATTTATATATATATCACTTAAGTGTCATATAAAACATGATGATATGTATAGAGTTAAGTATTTGTATATGAGTTTATGCATAATCCATTTCTTTTATCCGGGCTTGGAATCGGCCTGAAGTCTTAAAGGAGCTCCAGGGAGATTTACATTGCTGATGAGTTTTATAATGAGAAAAAAGAAACAGTTATTCAGTGCTTCCATCTTTTCAATAGTAGTCTAACTTAAATTGGTTCATGATCCATCTAAGGGAATTGAAAAACCATAATTTCAAACCAATAGTGTATATGGGCTCCAGTATTCTAAAGGAATAAAAGGCGTATGAACCAATTGTTGGTCATCGGTTATCATGGCACTGCATCGCCTTACGTCGCTTTTGTTTTTTTTATTTTTTGTTTGAACACATACATATTGGTACAATAGGGCACCGAATATATATGCGCTACATAAATTTTCATTTTATGTGTGTGTGGGTTGTGATAGTGCTCGGGTGCCCAAACCGACGCAGGTGCTTTTCCTAAGGGGCCACACTTCGAGCCTTTGACATAAAGGTCCAACCCACAAGGCAGTGGAGCATCGTAAGGAGATGCAGTCCAATGGTAGCCAGCCGGTGACCAACGATTGGTTCATACTCCATTTGTTCCTTCAGGATACTGGAGCCAGTCCATGTGCACCATTGGTTTGGAAACAGGTTAAAGCGCCGGACATTCGCTTTTCGTCCTCCCATTTTCGTAAACACCTCAGTCACGAGAAGGCAGTGAGTAGCACTTCCGTGGCAGAGGCTGTATACCCGTGACCATGTGAGGGTATTTCGATAGGGAGGGTAGGCCCTCCCCACTCTCGGCCATACCAGGGCATTTGCGGGCTACGTCGCTCTACTACCTTGTGGATTAGATATGTAAGTCGAAGGCTCTGGGTATTCCGCCCCCGCTAAGAAAATCACCTGCTTCAGTCTGGGCACCCGGGCAGTATCTTAGCCCTCACATAAACTGAATGGTTTATGTCACGCATATCTATTTGTTGCCTCCTTGTACTTATTGTCAACTTGAATAACCTTTTAAGTGAAATGAAATTATTAGATAAATAATCAGAATACATATGAGTCATATCAGTTGAAATAACTGATAATACAAATAGAAACTCTATGAATTGTTTCGTGGGAGGCTATGTCATGTATAAAGTTCTCTAAATTCAATAATAAATAAGATAATCATGTGAGTTGAATAGTAACCAAGTTCATTGTGTGTTTCGTAAATTATGACTCATGTTAAACCAATAGGAATACTGATAATAATACTGAAATATATGAATAACAATAACAAACATTACCTTAACCCACAAGTACAGTGATACTATGGTGTAGGTTACTTATATCCACACAAGTAGTATAAAACGGTGATTAGGTATAGAATGTATTTCAGTAGAAGATCGATGAGGAAAAAAACGGGGACGAAACGCAATCGGTATAAAAAGCATGAACAATGAAATCTGAGACAATCGATTGATGTTTACAACAGGAACAGTCAAGTTTGATATGATGGATTGATATTTTGTAATTAACGATTCTCGGGTTTGATTGAGATGCTCTGTAATTATTATGTGCTCAAATACATTCGATTGTTCGATGGTGGTTGGAGGTAGTCGACAGGAAACCCTGGACCCGGGTTTCGTGCTACTTGGCACTCGTCAGCAAGGTGTACCTGTAATCTTTGAAGGAACTGGTGCTCCCTGGCGGATTCGATCCCGTGTCACCCAGCTTCACAGTCAGAGACGTCAACACTGAGCTATCCGGACCACGACCGACCTCCTGTAGGACTGAGATGTAATCACAATTGATTGATCACTGGGTAGTGACCAATGTCATGCGTGTCTAGTCTAGTAGCACGAAACCCGGGTCCAGGGTTTCCTGTTGACTACCTCCAATCACCATCGAATCTTACAATAGTACCCGCGGTGTCGAGTCACCTAGACTGGTGACCACATTGCAACATGATCGATAGCATTCGATCTGCATTAATAATAAGGACTAGACACGCATGACATTGGTCACTACCCAGTTATAACATTGAGGAATGGCAATGAACAACCCATCTCCCTCCGACAAGGAATCATATCTAGATATGCTATGAATAGATATTATTTTTCACAAAGAACTTTATAGATAATTGTGACGGTTTTGATGGAATTTTGTTCTCTGAGCTAGATGGTTTGATTGTGGAGCTTTCATCGTTCTTCTAAATAACATCATCAGCACAAACCATCATATTGCGACGATATTTTTATGGGGTCACTCTCATCCTAACTGATTTTGTTTTGGCAACATTACAAAACAGAACTCTATAGGATATGATAGGAAAACTAGAATTTTATTGTCTCTATATGATGGATAATATGTTTATAATTATAAAATACAATTGTGAAGCTGAAAGTTAACTCGAAACATTTAATAGAGTTCATCAGGCAAGCTGTTATAACTTGTGACTGCCGATTAGAGAGCAGTGAATTATCGATCGAATCAATAACACGTAAATCTATTTGAGCAGTCTAGTTGCCTGATTGATTCTGCTTTTCACCTAGCCCAACCAGTTGAGTCCAGAACACCAATCTTAGCCTATGCAATATGAATCATGTATTTCAGACATACTGGGGTTTATATACCAATCAAACAGCCCGCAACGTACCATAAAATACAAAATAACATTTGTACAGGATGTGTCCAAATGTGGCTGTGAATAAGGGAGGTAGTGACAAATAGACAGGGCATAATTCAAGAATGGTAAAACGTACGATAATGGTTCATAGGTCAAAATAAAGCTCATGATAAGAGGGACATGAATATGCAGATAGTTTAGTTATTTAACAACTATGTGATAGAAATGTACATATAGTATTGATCCATAAATGGATTCCAAAGTTACCATTCATTATACTTAACAGGGCATAACACACCTAGTTATATTGGACACACAACTGGACAAATGTATCATTGTATTTTTAAACATCACCATGTATGAATGAACAAAGACAAAAGTAACTAAAACAAACTCAATCATGACGTATCTAGTCGGTAATAATCATCATGTAGATAACAGTTCAGCATTTAAATTCTCTCAGAATTAACCTTACAGTTTTAGAACTTCATTCTTATGATAAAACATAAACCGTAGGAAAACAAACTAAAGAACCTAACCTTTATATCAAGCATTTATACAGAGTCTGAAACGTGTAAGTTCTTAATTATTATATTGTCAAATTGACTCACTACCATCTAATAGCTATCAACTTTCTATTCATTCGTAAAGCAGTATATACTGGTATAGAGCTCTGATGAAGATCTAATTGAAAACAAATAGTTCTTCAATCAACTTGTCTTGTTAAAAGTAACAAAGACAAGAATATTTAACTAATTAAGGTTCCATATGAAGTCATTTTATAATTAAGATTATCATCGATTTATTATCCCTGAGGTTGGCTGCAGTAAACAAGGAGTTTTAATCTGTTACTTTTGTTCACATAGCTTCAAGTTTCTAATTCCATTAGCCGTTGTTTCTTCCATTTGAAGGATTTTGAGGAAGATTAACTTTGGTAGAAAATTATTGATCTGATAAATTATTGAGAAAGATTGGTTTATACTAATTTGGTTATTGGTTTGCACTGAGTAGGCTAATATTGAGTTATTCATTTTCTTGACTATATCTTTGCTTAGTAAAGCTAGAGAGTGTTCATAAGCACATTTCCAGCTAGTTTACTAACTTGACCATTGAACAAAAGGCATGAGACATTACTAAGACCATCCATTTGAGTTGTAATTCCTTATTATCTTGAACAATTTTAGGTTCGGGGTTCGAATCTTGCGAGTGGGATTATGGATGTGCGCCACTGGGAAGTTTCATGCTAGAACGAAAAGGCCATCCTGTGCTTCTAGGTTTTTCATTGTTATCTAGGTTCAATTGACTCATGAATTCAATTATAAAATTTTTTTTGATTGAGATCATGAACCGATTAATGTTAGACCAACATTGAAAACCTGTAAGCACTAGACGGCCGTTTCGTCCTATTGTGGGACTCCTCCGTGGCAGTGCGCATCCACGATCCCGCTCATGGGACTCGAACCCAGGGCCTCCAGTCTCGCGCGCGAACGCTTAACCTACTGGACCACTGAGCCAGCCGGCATCCAATGGTGTTAATGTTTAACCTCAACCAACCCACGAAAATTGCTCGACTATCTTCTATTGTACAAAGGCAGATACCTGTCTCTACCCGACACGGATTAGCTTCACTGGTCACGACGTCTCACTAGAACTCCGAGAATTCCCTCACGAAGCTAGTTACTAGTGAGCACATGTGGATGCACACTGCTGAGGAGTCCCATACTAGGACGAAACGGCCATCCAGTGCTTACAGGTTTTCCAACGTTGGTCTAACATGATCTCAATCACAAGACTTTTTTCCTCTTTTTCACTCACTTCAATATATTAATGACATAATCTGGACTCATTAGCTAAGTATGTGACGCGATAGTCAATAGTTCTGGATTCCTATCCTGAAATGGACATGAATTCTAGGGTGCAGGTGTATCCAGTTGACGAGATTTACTCAAGTTGAACGAAACACACCTCCCAGATCACATTGCTAACCACCATTCATCCCTCTTTAAAATATTTATTTGTTTATCTGAACACATAAACCTTGGTACAATGGGGCACCAAATACATATGCATCACACAATAACAATGAGACAAGTTTCACTTATGATTCTTTTGTGTGAGGACTGGGATAGTTCCGGAGCATGCAAACCAAAACAATGGATCTTCTTAGAGAACCACTCTCTGAACCTTTGACTTAATGGTTCAATTCATAAAATTCAAAGACCTGTTATCTTATGACTTAATTGATCCGTTCATAAATGATAGTCTTTATTATTATTCACTTACTTAACCATTTATCATTCATTGAATTCACATTGTTTTGTATAGATTCTTGAATATTATGAATGTTTTGATAGGATGTTAGGTGATTTGATGAAACAAATTCAGTGTTATGGATTGTTTTGTTTAAGTATAAATCTATTTTAGATTCATAACTATTATTATTACTATCTATATTCAATATTAAATCTGAATGATCTGGATCAAAATAATGAGAAGATTTAAATGGTTCATTAGAATCACCATGATGATAATGATGATGATGATGATGATGATTATTGTGATTTAGATCTGTACAAATGGTTAATGGTGATATGAATGGAATTGAATCATTTATATGGTTTATCAATGAATCACTATCATAATTATTATTTGTTAATTGATTTATAGAGATTGGTAAGGAATAAGATAAATATGAATGATCATATGAAGAAGATGTAATGAATGTATTAGAATGAATGTAATTCAAAGATGTAGTTGAATGAATACTATTATTATTATTATTATTATTATTATTATTATTATTATTATTATTATTATTATTATTATTATTATTATTACTGTTACTATGGTTATCATTCATACTACTCATGATCCAATCATAATGAGATGAATTGATAAACATGTTTTGATATTGATCATTATTAGATATAGGATTAGATAAACTATCACTATTATCATTACTATTAATAGTATTATATTGATTATTGATGAAATAATAATTTATTAACCAATTAATTGCTAATTCACTAACTGATTGTAATGATTTCTCTATAGTGATTGATGGATACTTTGAAGTGAATTGACGATTGATTATTGGTAAAAAGACCTATATCGAAAAAAAAAAATCAATAAACAAGATCCTTCAAGAATTGTGTCATGGTCAACAGTTCATTTAGATTCTTCAAAGAAAATGATCAAAATCTATTAGATTTTATTTAAATAAGGGCCCAATTTCTACCTAAAGGTTTATTCAAATGTTCATATAAAACAAGTCATTTCATTATATTCAGAGATGGATAGTGTATAGTAGTGGAATATAGGATGTAAATTTTGTCTCATCTGGAACTCATCAATTGAATGTGCCTACATCTTGAAGTTGATGTTCACTCCAGAACTCGAATCCAGCACATCGAATTGATGAGTCGTAAGTAGGGACGAAATATGTGCTAAATTGGATTTCACTACTAATCACTATTCATTTTTACTTAAAATGCTTATGAATTAAAGTAATATTGAGTCAATCCTCAATTTCAGTCCTAAACCTTAATGGGAACATTCAAATAACCAATACAAAATGAATCAAAGCCAATTCATTTTTGCGTTTATTGATTTTCTAATTTCAGAAGGGGTTTTGTGGAGATTGTAGTAATTTCAATGGTTAAGATCATGAGTCACTTGAAACTAGACAACCATGGAAAACCTGGGAGCAGTGGACGGCCGTTTCGTCCTATTATGGGACTCCTCACTGGCAGTGCACATTCACGACATCGCCCCCTGCGAGATTCGAACCTAGGACCTACTGGTTTCGAGTGCATGCACTTAACCATTAGATCACTGAGCCGGCATCCAAAGGTATATCCTGGGTTCCTAGTGAGAAGTAGTGACCAGTGCAGTTCAACCAGATCTGTTATGACATAGTAACTCACTGAAGACAATCGCATATGTGTCGCTCAATTTCGTGGATTAGTTGAAGTTAGACATTAACACCGTTGGATGCCGGCCAGCTCAGTGGTCTAGAGTTTAGGCGCTTGCGCGCTAGACTGATACGATCTGGATTCGAATCGTGCTGGGGGTGAAGTCGTGGATTTCCACTGCCGAGGAGTCCCACAATAGGACGAAACGGCCGTCCAGTACTTCCAGGTTTTCCGTGGTGGTCTAGCTCTAATTGACCCATGATTTCAACTATTGAAATTACCAATTCTCCACAAAACCCCTTCTAATAATAAATTGTATTGTTAAAAACTCATTGAATTCATTCAAAACAGAAAAATAACGATGCATGTCATATAAAACAGGTTGAAACAAGAGAGATAAGGTCCAGAGATGACTTGTCAAACGAAACTTACCAGGTAGTCGCCAATTGAATACTATCTTTTCGGTTCAAGCTGTTCTTGTTCGCCTATATATATATGCAGCGATTCTGCTGTCAATCTTTCTTTATGGGTGTTAAAACCTTACTGAAGTATTTTGTTCCCTTTCAAATTAATCTTGTGTCCTGTTTCTAACGCATGTAACGCTATCATCACAGACTTTAATTCAACTCAGTATTTGGAAACACTTTTTTCAAACATTGTTTGTGTTCCTTCAATCTTACATTCAATTGCTTGGATGTTTCTCTAACATAGGTCACAATACAATTATGACAATGGATCTCATATACAATGTTCTGTTGTTCTTCATTTGTTAAGTTGTCCTTCACTTTCACTAATGTCAATCTTAAGGTGTTACTCGCCCCAAAAATACACTCTTATATCATGTTTGTTTAGGAATTCGTTTGATTTCTTCTGATGTTTCACTACGGTATGATATGATCACGGTGTACCTCCATACTTTTCGTATACATTCTAGTTTAGTATTTGAAATCTTAGTGATTAAAATGTAACTAATTTAAACGGCTCATCCTAATTCTTCAAGGAAATAATCAAAATCTATTGTATTTTATTTAAATAAAGGGCCGATTTCTACCTAAAGGTTCATTCAAATATTCATATAAAACAATCCACTTCATTATATGCAGAGATGGATGATATATAGTAGTGGAATATAGGATGTGTATTTCATCCCATCTGGTACTCGTCAGTTGGATGTGCCTATATCCCATAGTTGATGTTCACACCGGAACTCGAATCCAGTACACCCAACCGACGAGTCCTAAATGGGATGAAACACGCATCAAACTGAATTACATTGCTAGATACCATTTATATTCGTAAATGTCTAGACAATTCAAACGTGAAATTTGATCCTTGATCAAAATATTTCTGGCTAAAATATCACAGAGCTCTAATAAACGTTGTCTTCTCACTGCGTTACTTTAATTGAATAACTTAACGAACGCTTGCAATGATCTATCATATTCTTTTTATTTTGATGTTCTTGCATCCCAGTGATTGATACTAGCCGGAAAAATTCATTGAAAACAGGAGATATTATTTTACTACAGTGCTTCAAGATACCAGGGTGCTTGGTAACTGTGTGGTTGCGCCACAGGATTGAGCTGTACTATTCAGATTGTAGCGTTAAAGCCTATACGGTGTCTGGTTCCCCTGTGAAGCGGGATTGAGTTATACTGTTCGGTTTATAAAACTTAAGTCTGAGCGGTGTCTGCTTCTTCTGTTATACGGGATTGAGCTGTACTGTTCAGGTTGTCACGTGAAAGTCTGCACAGTGTCTGGTTCTCCTGAAAACCAATGTGAAATTACCCTGACCTACAAGGATATATTATATAACTGTAAATATAACTTCAAGATACCAGCAAGGATTGAACCCAAGATCTTCAAATCTCGTGGATACCACAATCTCAAAATATCATACAGTTGGAATTCAGTGGTATATACATTTCAAACTTATGTGACCGTCACTCATGTAAAACGTTTGTGATGAACGAGAATGCAACTGAGGACAATCGAATATATTCGAATACAAAATTACAAAATCTGAGACCCATACAATAGATTCTTCATTTGAAAAATGTCAGTCAATTGTCTCAAACTTGATTGTTCGTTCGTTTCCTTACCAATCATTCTCTGTTCATGTTCTCTTTCCTTTGATCTTCTTAACGTTATGTCTTCAGGCATTTCGCTTTTGATGAATGATACCTACTACTTATATCAGTCGATATCAGTAGCACATACCATAAACTAACTTCAAAGGAATAAATAATATCCACATATCTCTAATCTTAATTTTTATTAAAATGTTTTTGATATCATCTAACTTACTTACTTATGCCTGTCACTCCTTTTGAAGGAGCATAGGCCGCTCACCAACATTCTCCATCCAACCATGTCCTGGGCAATCCTTTCCAGCTCTTTCCAGTTCTTATTCATCCTTTTCATATCCGCTTCTATTTCCCGACATAATGTGTTCTTTAGCCTTCTTCTTTTCCACTTCTCTTCAGGATTCCAAGTTAGCGCTTGTTTCGTGATACAGTTTGATGATTTGCGTAATGTATATCCTATCCATTTCCATCGTCATTTCCTAATTTCCTGTTCAGCTAGAAGTTGGTTTGTTCTCTCCCACAAAAAGCTGTTGCTGATAGTATCCAGTAAATGGATGTTGAGTATCTTGCGTAGACAACTATTGATAAATACTTTTACCTTCTTGCTGGTGACTGTTGTAGTTTTCCAAGTTTCAGCTTCGTATAGTAGAACTGCCTTGACATTCATATTGTAGATTCTGACTTTGATATTGGTTCAGACAGTTGTTTTGAGTTGAAGGAATGCTGCCGTTGCTTTGCCAATCCTCACCTTTACATCTGCATCTGAACTTCCTTTCTTATCGACGATGTTTCCTAGGTATGTGAGTGATTCTACATCTTCCAGAGTTTCACCATCAAGAGTGATTAGATTGCTGTTCTTCATATTGTATTTTAAGAACCTAGATCATCTAACTTAGAAAACTATCTAATGTATAGAACTCACACATTGAATTACATAATGACTTACTTGTCCAATGTATACATTCATTCTCTTTCCATAGATTTGATCAATACAGCTTTGTGTTATGATAGTAAAGTTCGGTAAACCAAGTCCATTTTTCATACAAATATCTATTAATAACTTAATAAAAAAAATTGAAATAAACATTATATGATAAATTCACTTGATATTGTTTTATTTGAATCTTCGCATAGAGTTTGAAGCGAACGGTACTGCGTTCGAGTCCCGGAGTGAACATCAACTCTGAGATGCAGGTAAATCCAGCTGACAAGTCCCAAATAGGACGAAACGCGCGTCCTGGATTCCACTGCTAGCCACTATCCATCTTTGCTTATAATTAGATGATAAAGGATAATAATAGTTGAAATATCATATGAATACAGTAAAGAATTCCAGGAGACATAGATGGATAATGAATAACAGTGGAATCGTCAGCTGGATGTACCTGCATCCTAAAGTTGATGTTCAATCTCTCGGATTCGAACCTAGTAACTTTCGATTCAAATGCAATCATCTTACCCACTTAGCTACTGACTCCTGATAGCCATTTACTTGTTTATTTATTTTAACACATAGATATTGGTACAAGGAGGCACCAAATACATATGCACCACACAGATCTCATTTGATATGTGTGAGGGTTGTGATACTGCCCAGGTGCCAAAAATGAAGCAGATGGTTTTCTTAGAGGGCCACACTCCGAGCCTTCGACCTGAACACGTCTGATCCACAAGGCAGTGGAGCATCGTGAGGAGATGCATTTCAACGGTAACCGGTGAACAACGATTGGTTCATACGCCATTTGTTCACTCAGGATACTGGAGCTAGCACATGTGCACCATTGTTTTGGGATCCGGTTAAAGCCAGTGCCGGACATTCGCTTTTCGTCCTCCTGATTTCGTAAACAACACCTCTGTCGAGAGAAGACAGTGAGTAGGACTTCCCTGACAGAGGCTATATACGCGTGGTCATGTGAGAGCATTTGGAGAGGGATTGCGAACTCTCCCCACTCTCGACAGTACCAGGGCATTTAGGGGCACTTACTTGTGCAATAGGATGAAGTTTAATATCATTTAAGGTAATATCAAGGCAATACGCAGAGTATGTACATATACCAATAAGAGACTGATCAATTACAGTCCTAAACATCAATGGGAAGATTGAAGTAAAAACAATACCAAATGAATCCTAGGAGACTTCTAAACAGATTAATTTTCAACATTGAAAATAGTTTTGTATATTAACTTTACAATGTAGTAGTTGATGCAAATTAATAAAAAGAAATATAGTCTACAATGAAGCAATTTATTTAAAAATGAATCTAAACAAGCAAGCGCTAACTTGGAATCCTACAGGAAAGCGGAAAAGAGGAAGGTCAAAGAACACATTACGTCGGGAAATAGAACCGGATATGAAAAGGATGAATAAGAACTAGAAAGGATAGCCCAGGACATGGTTGGATGGAGAATGTTGGTGAGCGGCCTATGCTCCTTCACGAGGAGTAACAGGAGGAAGTAAGTAAGTAAGTAAGTAAGTAAGTAAGTAAGTAAGTAAATCTACCATGGTTATTCGATTATCTTCATTCTTGATTGTTGTTGAACTAAATCACAATTCATACATCGAATATACATAATAGAATACAGGTACTTTATAGAAGTACACTTGGCCGAAGACATACATTATCACAGATTATCCATGTAGAAAACTGTTCTACATGTTTTTTTAGAATAAAAACTAGTTTCAAAATTATTATGAGTAGGCAGCTTTGTCTGCTTACAATTCTTGATGTAGTGTCTTTTTTAGTCTTCTTCTTTTCTGTTTCCTTCCAGGAATCCTAGTTAACGCTTGCCTCGTCATTCAGTTTGATGATTTCTCAAATGTATATCATATTCACCTCAAATATCTTTTCCTAATTTCCTTCTCAGCTGGAAGCTGGTTTGTACTATCTTACAGTACGCTGCTGCTAATGCTATCCAGTCAACGGGCATTAAGTATATTGAGGAGACAATTGTTTATATTAATTGTGGTAGTTCTGAAAGTTTCAGCTCCGTACAGTAGAACTGTCTTAATGTTCGTATTGAAGATTGTGAATTTGATATTTGTTGACAGTTTTTTTTTAATCCCATATGTTATTCAACTGTAGGAAAGCGGTTGTTGCTTTGTCAGTCTTCACCTTTACGTTCGTCGATGTTGATATAGCAGGACAGGGACGTGGACGTTTCCATATGTTCCAGGGTTTCTCCATCAAATGTGAGTGTGTTGTTATTCTCCATGTTGTATTTGAGGATTATGATTTTTCCCTTGTGTATGTTGAGACCTACTGATGTAGAGGCTGCTGCTATACTGTTTATCTTCATCCGCAAGTTTTGGTGTGTATGGGATTGAAAGGCCATTTCATCTGCCGAATCCAAATCGTCTAGTTGCATTCAACCCGTCCATTGTATCCCATACTTCCCCTTAGATGTTGAGGTTTTCATAATCCAGTCAACTAACAGAAGAAAGAGAAAGATTTATAGCAAGCAGACTTGTTTGACTCCGGTCCCCACTTGGAATACGTCCGTAAGTTGTTGTCCATGAACAGCTTTGCAGTGTAATTCACCATATGAATTACGTATGAAGTTGACGATTTCCTCAGGTACTCGATAGTATCGAAGACGTTTGCAAAATTTTCTCTCATCCACACTGTCAAATGCTTTCTCATAGTCAAGGAAGGTGATGTACAGTGTTGAGTCCCATTCAATTGATTGTTTAATGATAAGTTGGAATAATAAGACAAGTACACATTTCCTCCAACTCAATGCAACACGGCCGTTTCGTCCTATTGTGGGACTTCTCAGCAGTGCGTATCCACGATCCCGCTCGTGGGATTCGAACCCAGGGCCTTCACTCACACGAGCGAACGCTTAACCTACTCTATCAGTGAGCCGGCATCGAATGATGTTAATGTCTATCCTCAACCAATCCACGAAGTTGCGCGACCATCTTCCATTGTACTGAGGTAGACACCTGTTTCTACCCGACACGGATTCGCTCCACTGGTCACGACTTCTCACCACAACTCCGAGAATTCTCTCACGAAGCTAGTCACTAGTGAACACATTGTAATTATCAATTTAGGTGTTGTGGAGATTGTCATGTTTTTGATTGAAATCATGAACCGATCGATGTTAGACCACCATTGAAAACCTGGAAGCACTATATGACCGTTTCGTTCTATTGTGATACTCCTCCGTGGCAGCGCGCATCCACCATCTTGCTCGCGGGATTCCAACCCAGGGCCTTCAGTCTCACGCGCGAAAGCTCAACATACTCGACAACTGAGCCAGCCGGCATCGAATGGTGTTAATGTCTAACCTCAATCAATCCACGAAAATTGCGCGATCATCTTCCATTGTACTAAGGTAGACACCTGTTTCCAGGTTTTCAATGGTTGTCTAACATCAATCAGTTCATGATCTCAATCAAAAATTGGAAGCAGACATGAATAGGCATTGAAAACAACTGAAAATAATTGCCCAAGATAAACTTGTATGTAGAATGCTAGTGAGTGGCTTATACTCCTTCACGAAGAATAACAGGCGTTCGTTCAATATGATAATTACAATATTTAACTTACTTTATTAGCATTTGTTATCTGTTGACCGTCTATACTGGAATGGTCAATAGGTAATCGATTAGCACTTTCAGAATTTAAAACGAATGAACAATCATTGGAATTGTTTTGATTTGAACTTATTAATGGTTGTATTGATGAAGTACTTGTTTCAAAAGAACTAAAAATAAAGATGTAAATCACAGAAACAATGTAAGAATATTGTATTTCGTTTATATGATGAGTTAACAATAACTAGGCAAATATTTGAAATCAAAAGATATTAGATAATTATCAGTAGGGGTTTTGTGGATGTGCACTACCAATGAGGAGTCCCATAATAGGATAAAACGGCCGTCAAACAATGCTTCCAGGTTTTCCATGGTTATAGTCTAGCTTCAACTGACTTATGATCTTAATCATTGAAGATATTAGATAGTTATTTCATTTTATTGTTAACATATAACAGTTTACACTTGTTATAACTTGTGACTGCCGATGAGAGAGCAGTGAATTATCGATCGAATCAATAACACGTAAATCTGTATGAACAGTTTAGATTCCTGATTGATCTCGCTTCCTACCTAGCCCAACCAGTTGAGTCCAGAACACCAATCTTAGCCTATGCAATATGAATCATGTATTTCAGACATACTGGGGTTTATATACCAATCAAACAGCCCGCAACGTACGATAAAATACAAAATAACATTTGTACAGGATGTATCCAAATGTGGCTGTGAATGAGGGAGGTAGTGACAAATTGACAGGGCATAATTCAAGAATGGTAAAACGTACGAAAATGGTTCATAGGTCAAAATAAAGCTCACAATAAGAAGGACATGAATATGCAGATAACTTAGTTATTTAACAATTATACGATAGAAATGTACGTATAGTATTGAACCATAAATGGATCACAAAAGTTACCATTCATTATGCTTATCGGGACCTAAAAACACTCAAAACCTTACCAAAGACTTAACATAACATCGTCCTGTCCTATAGAAACTAGGATCCTATTACTCTATTGTCAGTCAGTCAGTCAGCTGCAACGTAGGACCAGGCACGTATATGCATCGGTCCAAGTTGCCATACCGCATTAGCACAACAAGATGAACACCGGATTCATAGAAGTAGTTAATTCAGTGGTGGTAATATATAGAAGAAAGAGTGTGTATAAGGAGATAGTGCAGGAAGATAGAATTAGTTCGTAGAAAGAAAGATTTGAAGTGATTTTAATCTCTTAGTTTAAAGGAAGACAGAGAGTGAATACACCGACGCCATTGTGATCGATTCTGAGCCATGTCACCAAGAGTCTCCAACCATTGGTTACGATAATCACGCGGACCCCAACCAGGTAGTCTGCATGTACCAACATGGCTCACACCAGAAGTTAGTGACTTCAATCACTGATGCCACGTTTTGGTTTGGCCGCCCCTAACTTTCTTCCGATTATCCCTAACACCGGTTACCATTGCGCGTCGCGGTAATCGGTGTTCAAATGGGTTTAATTTTTCTTATGACCAAGGCTTTAATGAACATTGATAAATATATATACTCTTCAACGTTTTTGAACAACACAACAAAAGACTAGTTATGATCAAACTGATGACCTTATAAGCAAAGATGAATAGTGGCTAGTAGTGGAATCCAGCTTGATACGCTTTTCATCCTACTTTGAACTCGTCAGCTAGATGTACTTGCATCTCAGAGTTGTTGTTCACTCTGAGATGAGTCCTAAATAGGACGAAACGTGCGTCAAGCTGGATTCCACTGCTAGCCACTATCCATCCATCTTTGCTTATAATGCTTATAAATTAAGGTAATATCGAGACAATATTCAGAGTATGCACATAGACCAATAAGAGACTGATGAATTTCAGTCCTAACACATCAATGTGAAGATTCAAGTAAAACGATATTAAGTGAATTAAACGTATGACCTCTTTCAACGATATGTTTGGCAATAGAGTACAATGGATGCTGTTCGTCTACTGTTATTGGGCGATTTTGATTTTCACTGGTTGAAATCATGAATGCATTGAAGCTAGACCACCAATGAAAACCTGGAAGCACTGGACGGCCGTTTCGTCCTAGTATGGGACTCCTCAGCAGTGCGCATCCACGATCCCGACCCTCGCGAGATTCTAACCCAGGACCTATCAGTCTCGCGCCAGGCGCTTAACCAACTAGACCACTGGGCCGGCATCCAACGGTGTTCATGTCTAACTTTAACCAATCCACGAAGTTGCGCCACCGTACACCATTGTCTTCAGTGAGCTGATATCTCACAACAGACCTGGTTGATTTTATTTATTTTAATGACCATTTACGTGCACGTTTAGACAACTTAATGTTCAGATCATGATTTCTTATCCTTTTGTATATGTGACTACATACACATTAAAATTGATAAATACAGTTGAATGTGATATGACCTTGTTTTCACATGGGTAATGACCTTTCTGAATAGTTCGTTTTGTTAACATCTGATGTAAACCTATATATGGAGAGAAGACTATTTGACTCATCTCTGAAATGTAGATTGATATAGATAAGCTAGTTATGTGCCTGTATATGTATGATATCTCGTTCCCATTAATGTTTTGTTCAATTACATTACTTTGTCGTCAATAACGTTGTTTATACAAATACGATCAATCTAGTTAAATAGATCCTTTATCAAAACATGAATGTATTCAACTGAGCAATAACTATGACGATTAAAGTACCAACCTATTCAGGTTGAATTTCTAACAATAGATCGTTTAACTAAACCATCTTCTCTTCCATTTATATATTTATCTAAGAAAGGAAGTTGATTGTTCTCCATCTCTTCACATGAAAACTGACATGATTTTGAAGTGTGTTAAGTTTATTCAGTGGACAATGAATACTATACTTTCTTTTAAAGAGAACTAATATGTAAATCACTTATCTCTTAGAAAGCCCCCAAATGACTTGGTATGACCAACAGTGAGGAGAGTCCGCTTTCTCTTTCTCGAAAAGCTCTCACATGGCCACGCATATATAGCCTCTGTCAGGGAAGTCCTACTCACTGTCTTCTCTCGACAGAGCTGTTGTTTACGAAAATGAGAGCACGAAAAGCGAATGACCGACACCGGCTTTAACCGGATCCCAAAACAATGGTGCACATGGGCTGACTCCAGTATCCTGAGTGAACAAATGGCGTATGAACTAATCGTTGGTCACCGGCTGGCTAGCATGAGACTGCATCTCCTCACGATGCTCCACTGCCTTGTGGATCAGATGTTCAGGTCGAAGGCTCGGGTGTGGTCCCCTAAGAAAACCACCTGTTTCGGTTTGGGCACCTGGGCAGTATCACAGCCCTCACACATAACGAATGAGATCTGTGTGGCGCATATATATTTGGTGCCTCCTTGAACCAATATCTATGTGTTAAAATAAATAAATAAAATAACTAGATTATGTATATCTATATTCCCCTTGTAATAAGCTTTGTTTTAACCTATCATTTATTATTATTGTACAATTCACTGTTCTTAAAGTAGGTTCAGTTTATTGACTACTGTCTCCCACATTCACAGCCACATTTTGACTTTATTGTGTGTATGAATGTTATTTCCTATATTATGGTGCGTTGCGGTCTGTTTGGTTGATGTATAAACCCAGTATGTTTGAAATATAATGATTCGATTCGCATAGTGGAAGCTGATATTGGTGTTCTGGACTCTCAAGTGGACGGGTTAGGCAAACATAGGACTAATAAGTTCGCTAAACTGCTCATACCGGTCGAATGTCATTAGTTTGGTACAGTATTAAGATTTTATAAATCCTATTTTGATTGATGGATAAATCATGTGATAACAAGGCCGACATAAAGTCACAACACATAATTCTGATAATTGTCATCTTCTTAGTATTGCACTATCGAAAATATATTTTCTCTTTAGAACCTTAACATTTCTTTGCACTTGAATGATTATTATCAGAATAGGAATTTGTATAGATTGTAGTAATTTTAACAGTTGAATTAATGAGTAGATCATCGCTAAAGCACAATTGAAAACCTGGAAGCACTAGAAGGCCGTTTCATTCCATCATATGACTCCTCAACAATGCACATTCACGATCCCACACACAGGACTCCAATCCAGGACCTTTCGTTTGAACATACACGAACTCTTAACATCCATACGGATTGAATTGATTTCCAGCGATGCTAATGTCTTACTACAATTGATTTATGATCATGTGCTACACTTCGTTGATTATCTGAGATAGATAACTTTCTCGACCTTACACAGATTAGACTTCACTAATCACGACTATTCATTGCTCCTCACAAATTCCATCATTGATAATTATATAATTATCAGAAAGGATTTTGTGGAATTTGTAGTAATTTCAATGGTTAAGATCATAAGTCAGTTAAGTACTCGCGCGTGAAACCATTAGGTCCTGGGTTCGAATCTCATAGGGAGTAAGGTCGTGGATACGCACTGCTGAGGAGTCCTACAATTATAGAATTACCTATTTTCTTTCTGTAAATTCAGTATTGTTTTATTAAATTGATCCTGCTTAAATTGTTTATGGCCTGAATTCAATGTTAAATAATTTGAATAATTTTGAATTTTCCGCTTTTCAATATTCAATGTTGAAAGAGAATGACATAATTCATTAAAACAAATTTGATTCAATGTTGATAATGATGATGATGATGATGGTTTATTGATTGGTTTATTCACTAAAGTATTATGATGATGTTGATTGATATCATTATGAGAATGTCTCCTTGTCGTTGATGTGTTCATTGTATTCACCATGGATACAAAAGATGATGACGGTGTTGATGTGGATAATAATAATGAAGATGATGAGAAGGAACTAGGATCATTGGATAATAATAATGAATTCTGATTCATAGTATACTTAACTAATGGATTACATTGAACTTGATGTGGATGTAGCGTTGTTTGTTTGGAAATACTTGGATTAGACTGTAAATGATATGAATTTGATGAGATCATTGATTGATTAATGATTGATGTAAAAGGATATAAATTAGAATAATGTAATTGTTGTAAAGGTATATTATTGTTTAATGGATTAGAATATGGTATAGTGAATGTATTAGATGAACCGAGTAATGATGATGATGATAACGATGACGATGATGATGATGATGATGATGATGATGATGATGATGATGATGATGATGATGAGAACAATGATAAGGATTGTTGTTGAGTAGTTAAATTAGTATACCCTGGTAAACTGATATCATTATTACAATTTATGATCTTATTATGATGAGTATATTTTGAATGGTTTGTTAAAATGGATTGAGAATGATGACTAGTTTTTATATGATCATTTTTATTGATAGGTTTTGCCCAAGTCACTTCAATTTGTGCTCCATCAAATATGGTACCTAATGAATAAATCAGACAAAAGAAATACATTGAATTCAGTTGTGTCTATTGATCATGATAGTAGGATAAGTATGAAAATATATAAATAAAAGATTCTATAAATGTAGTATCTATGGTGAGATGATCATTTATGGATGAACTAATCAGGTATAACATAATAGGTCTCAGATTTTGCGAGCGAAATTCATTCTTCTATTTGGTTAAATAGAGTTTTTCGCGTTATAGGTGATGTCAGTTCATGATGAAAATCTAAAATCTAATTCCTAAGCCTTAACTATAAACTGTCAGTCAGTCAGTCAGCTGCAACGTAGGACCAGGCACATATATACATCGGTCCAAGTTGCCATACCTCACTAATTAGCACAGCGAGATGAACACCGGATTCATAGAAGTAGTTAATTCAGTGGTGGTAATATATAAAGAAGAAAGACTGCATATAAGGAGATAGTATAGGAAGAAAGAAGTAGTTCGTAGAAAGAAAGATATGAAGCCATTTTAATCTCTTAGTTTAAAGGAAAACAGAGAGTGTATAGAGTGTATACACCGACGCTATTGTGGTCGATTCTGAGCCATGTCACCAAGAGTCTCCAACCATTGATTATGATAGTCACACGGACCCCGACCAGGTAGTCTGCATCTACCAGCATGGCTCAGACCAGAAATTGGTGACTTCAATCACTGATGCCACGTTTTGGTTTGACCGCCCCTAACTTTCTCTCAACCATCCCCAACACCGGTTAGCATTGCGCGTCATGATAATCGGTGTTCAGGCATACGCAGCACGTGGCCCAACCATCTCAGTCGATGAAGATTCATAACCTCATCAACTGATTTACCATCATTCCTTAATACCCTGCGTCTAACCTCACTATTACTTACCCGGTGATCCCAGCAGATACCCGCAATATTTCCAAGGCACCTGTGGTCAAATACTAGTAACTTACGAGTATCTTCTATTCTTAAAGGCCATGTTTCGCAGCCGTATAGTAGAACGGAACGAACTGCCGCGCAGTATACTCGTCCCTTAATTGATAGACGGATATATCGCCTTCGTCATAGGTGATTTAAGTTGACAAAAGTTAAACTGTAAATCATAATTCTAATCCCTCACACTAATTTATAACCCTCATTTGATCTCAGTTATCAGGTGAACACTCTCAAGGTCACTATGTCGACGCTCAAAGGTTGTCGATGTATCATTTAAATGATAAATAGATTCATATAATTGAATAGTTGAATTCATAAGTCAATTAAAGTGAGACCACTATGGAAAACGTGGAAGCTATTGGACATCGAGTTCGTTGTCTTCAGCTTTCAGGGGTTCAGTTGACTAATGAACTTAACTACAGTATTATTACAAGTCATCTGCTGTAGGCTAACCGTTTTATTTGTTTTTTAAACATATGAAAGTTTATAGATTTACTTAATCGAACTGATATCGATGGTAAAAGCCTGAAATGGAGTCCAAGAATCAAATTTTAGTTTCATTGTTATGTCATTATAGATATTTAGTTATAAGTCAAACTTGACAGAAGTTTTGTAACAGTTGAGACTTGTCAAGAGGTCTTGACTATACAGTTATGGAATCTAACTGTAACATGAAAGTATTCTTTGAAATAGAATATTTGATATCATTCGTAAGAAAGTATTTTGATGACATTGTATTCTCTTTTACATGAAGTAGATGGTATCTCACAGAACGACTATTATGATTACATAATCAAACGATTTCAATTCACTTAAGGTACCAGCTGAAGAGGAAATTAAGAAAAGACGATGGAAATGGATAGGATATACATTGAGGAAATTATCAAACTGCATCACGAAGCATGCCCTAACTTGGAATCCTGAAGGGAAGTAGAAAAGAGGAACGCCAAAGAACATATTATGTCGTGAAGTAGAATCGGATATGAAAAGGATGAATAAGAACTGGAAAGATCTGGAAAGGATTGCCCAGGACAGAGTTGGATGGAGAATGCTGGTAAGCAGCATATGGTCCTTCACAAGGAGTAATAAGCGTAAGTATGTAAGTACCTACCTACCTCTGTAACACTGAAGTCAACTCAGTGAGATGATAATTCATGGATGGAGGCTGCGACATACAAAAAGTGGTTTTAAGTGAGTTCAAACACTAACTAGGGTCAAAATAAGGTTACGAATTGCTGTGTAACTGGAAGTTAGGATTAGGAATCGGCATTAGGGTTTTCCTCACGAATTAACATCACCTATCATATCAAATTGTGAGCTAAAATCTTTAAGTTTCAATCTTTAGTTTGATTGGTTTGTCCATAAACTATTATTTGTCGTTAAAGTTTATCTACCATTGAATTTGCAATCGAAATAACCTAACTCATAAATTAACTAGACTTGATGGATAAGCAGTGATTCGAAAGCAGTTGAATGGAATATTATGTATTGATAACTACTTGGTTAACTTCACATGTAGCTCTTCTACGGTTACTGCTGGTCCCAAGACCAGGTAAGGGAGAAGGATTGAGCGTGGGGTTGGTAACCCCATCCCGTCAAAAACAACTTTACCAATAAAAACGTTAACGAGAATAAACAAGTTAAACCATTTGAAATCTGCCCTCTGAGTTGAAGGAACAATTATGACGTCTTGTGATATAAGCTGATGCCCCTTTCTAACAACTAAAGCAACAATTTTCATAGGTACATGGAACGTCCGGAAAATGTGGGAGACCGGAAGGACCAATCAAATATTAACGGAAATGAGGAGATACAACTTGGTAGTTCTCGGAATCAGAGAAATCGATTGAACCCAAGCTAGACAGAAGAGGCTCAATACCGGAGAGATGCTGTTGCACTCCGATCACGAAATGAAGCACGTAATGAACTTACAGTATGGAAATCTCACGGATCCATGGTCATCAAAGAATCTTTCAAAACAAAGAAGAAGAGAGAGGATCACAATAAATGTTATCCAATGTTATGCACCCATCAACGATACCAATGAAGCTGATCAAAATTCAGTATTATAAGAGACTTGAGTTTATGGTAGAGAAGTGTTCAGGAAACGACCTAACATCCTGATGGGACACTAAAACGCCAAAGTTGGAATAGACACCGCAGGATATGAAAATATAATCAGAAGCATCCATTTCATTATGGCTCTGACATGGTAAATACAATTGAACAGGTTGAGTAATTGATATGATTGAAAGTGAAATATCTTTCAATGATTCGTCTCTAGTTCTTTTCAAGAAATAGATAAATTACTCAATATTATTTCATTTTGTAGTGATAGAAAGTAAAGTCAACCAAGTCTCTAACTTCATCAGCAAATGTTCGATAACAAATAAGTATTCAAGTATTATGTGTGAACTCCTCCTCACTAGATTTGTTATTATTATTAACTATCATTATATTCTGATAGTTATGGTAAGCGATATTGGGGATCTGATACTGAATCACAACGTGTTGCTTACAGGTCCTCCGAATGACTACTGAGTAAGAAGATAAGGTTGAAGGAGAAAGTCTATATCTAGAGAGAGAGAAAAAGAGAGACTTGGATTTATATATATGGATTTCATCCCCTTAGAAAATCGATTTCTTTGAAGATTTCATGGGAAAATCATGAGTAACCGATGTTTTAAAGTGTGGAAAACGTTATATCCTTCAAGGTAGAACTTTGTATTATCATTACATATCAATATTGAGTTCTATGCTATATATGACAGTAGATAGTTTATTAAGCTTTATCTTTTTATTAAAAGCGGTATTTGTAGCTTGTAGCTGAATAGCATCATCAACTCATTCACTTCACTTCATAAGGTGGTGATATGAGATTCAACAGCTTGATTATCTAAAATGATGATTTCTTGAAATTTATTTTCTATTTCTATCATTTCAATATATTTATTGAAGTTAGACATTAACACAGTTGGATGCCGGCCAGCTCATTGGTCTAGTGGTTAAGTGCTCGCGCGCGAAACTAGTAGATCCTGGGTTTGAATCTCGCAGGGGGCGAGATCGTAGATGCTCACTGACAGTGAGCAATAGGACAAAATGGCCATCCAGTGATTCCAGGTTTTCCATGGTGGTCTACCTTGAATTGACTCATGATCTTAACCATCGAAATTACTACAATCTCCACAACCCCCCTCCGCTTCTGATAATAATCAACATATGCTCACTAGTGACTGGCTTTAAGAGGTATATCCTGGAGTTCTAGTGAGAAGTAGTGAGTGACCAGTGGAGTTCAACTAGGTCTGTTGTGAGATAGTAACTCACTGAAGACAATGGCATATGTGTCGCTCAATTCTGTGTATTAGTTGAAGTTAGACACTAGCACTGTTGGATGCTGGCTCAGTGTACTAGTTGGTTAACCGCTTGGCGCGAGACTGATATGTCCTGGTATCGAATCTCGAGAGGCGGTGTCGTGGATCCGCTTTGCTAAGGAGTCCCACAATAGGACGAAACGGCCGTCTAGAGCTTCCATGTTTTCCATGGTTGTCTATCTTCAACTGACTCATGATCTTAACCATTGAAATTACTACACAATCTTCACAAAACCCATATAATATTTGTTTTTGTATACTCATTCATGTTAGTATATTACGGCAATTATAAAATTGAAGTAAAACATAATTTTATTTATAAGAAGATATATTATGTTCAGATGATTAGTATATCATGCATGATTAAATGATCATTTCATATGAATAAACAGCTGATCGTTTCACTTTGGATAAGATAATGCTCTAAAGTTGTGCATATATGCACAACACTGATCATTTCGATCAAAATAGACTTAGTGTTTAAAGTTATCTACAAGGTAGATAGAAACTTAACAACGACTCCCTAGCACTATTGAAACCCTTTAATATACAATAAGAAAAAGCTAAAACAATGTATACTAAACAAATTTGATCCATCTCCTCTTTTATTGTAGTGGTGGTGTGTGCTACTTATGTAGACATAGGTAGTATTTAATGTTAGTCGTGAACAGAATGTTTGGCGGCAGAGAGAGACAAGAAGATCGAACAGTAAAGAATGAAAACAGAATGCAATTTGTATGAAAATGCAAGAACAATGAAGTCTGAATCATTTGAGACAATTGATGGACATTTTGCAAATTGACCATTTACACATATGGTTGTTAGATTTTGCTAACTATTTCTGTAATTTGTTGTCAAATAGGTTCGATTGTCCCGATTGGTGTTCTTGTTCACTACATTTGGTATCGCTGCCAATCAGGAGAGGAGAAGGTTGCTGTCCTGTGGACGCCGTTGCGGGCTTGAAGCTGGGGTGCAGGTTGGAGCAGTCTGGTGAGGAGAGATGGAGTCTGGTGGAGTATTCTGGTGGGGCGGCATTAGCTGTAACGGATGCTGTCGACGAAGAGGAGTGATGGGACGTGCGGATACTGGGCGGAAGTCGGATGTAGATGATTAAGAAGACCGGTGGAGCACGGGTGTTAAACGTCCCAGGTGTCGGATGTTGGTTCCCTACACGTGTTCTGTTCACTACAATAGTATGGGATTTCTCAAAGTTGTGCATCCACAAAACTTTACTTAGTTTATAAGTTATAATTATATAGTGTAGGTGTTAGTATTATGAGAATATAACGGTTTTATTGGTAATGATGAGAACTTGACTCATTATATGTGCAGGTCAACTGTCACTTCACCACAACTTTATATGTTCTGTACATACTCTATTAAAGGATTATAAATTGCATTCTGCTTTGTATGTTTGTAGATATTTCCTAGTATATCTAAAATTGTAGACGATTTGCAGTTACTGTTGAATAACAGAAAAGTTTTGTGTTTATGGTCCCCAGTTTTCATGGGTATTCAAACACTACTATTATATTTTCGTCATTTATGTATCTGAAGGGGTTTTGTGGAGAATTGGTAATATCAATAATTGAAATCATGAGTCAATTGAAACTAGACCACCATGGAAAACCTGGAAGCACTGGATGACCGTTTCGTCCTATTATGATACTCCTCAGAATTGGGCATCCAAGACCCTGCTTCTCGAGATTCGAACCCAGGACCTATCCGTCTTTTGCTACAGGCGGTTAACCAACTAAACCACTAAGCCGGCCGGTATCCAATGGTATTAATGTCTAACTTCAACTCATCCACGAAGTTGCGCAACCGTCACCATTGTCATCAGTGAGTTATTATCTCACAACAGACCTGGTTATGTATTTATACAGTTTAGCTACTTTTATCATTTCAGTAGTATAAAACATAATCACAAATATACAAGCTTCTTAAATAGTTTGGTCTCATCAACACGTATGCTAACTGACGTTGATAAATAAGCGTAACTTAAATAGAATAAAATGCTCTAGTGAACGAATTACGTGGAAACTTCATTTATTTTTGTGAAGTATTAGCTAATCATCTTGTTGAAAGTAAAATCAATCTGCTTAGCTTGCTCAACTAAACCATTAGCATGTCAGGTATACACAAGACTTCTTCGTTATATACAAAGCCATGTTATGATTTCTAAAACCATATTTAACGGAATTCGGAGCCTGAACCACATCAGTGGCTAATCCATCCTATGACAATAAGCATCATAATGTGTTTTTATTGTAAGATTAGATGATGGTTGGAGGTAGTCGACAAGAAACTCTAGATCAGGTTTCGTGCTATTTGGCACTCGTCAGCAAGGTGTACCTGTAATCTTTGAAGGAACTGGCGGATTCAACCCCGTGCCAACCAGCTCCACAGTTAGAGACGTTACCACCGAGCTACCTCTAATTACCATCTAATCTCACAATAGTGCCTGCAGTATCGAGTCACCTAGACTGATGGCCACATTGCAACATGGTCGATAGCATTCGATCTGCACTAATAATAAGAACTAGACAAGCATGACATTGATCACTACCCAGTGATCAATCAATTGTGTTTTTAGTGTGTAAATTGTTGAAACTTGATATTACAAGATTTCTTTATTTAGATAACCATTGAGAATAAGGGAGGATTAAGTAGTTGTTTGATGAAAGTATAAGACCCTTCATTTGTGATCATTCACTGCTTTACTAGGAAGTCGATCCCAGAAACTCCAGTGACAATGAATGATGATCATTCAGTAGACTAAACTTTATGTCAACCAAAAGAAATAATTCTGATTGTTTGAAAATGAAATGTAACCTGAAGGTTGTTTTTCCATCATTGATCTGTTGTGAAGATGTTGTCAAGGAGGAGAGAAATGACAACACAAAGCCACTGTTTAATATCTGCTGATCATTTATGATTGTTCAACGAAAGTCACGTAATGGCATGAAGCTTCAAATCCTCTGTTAGTTAGTTTAACAGTTGTTACTCAAAGTATGTATTATAGATGATCTATCTTTTAAATTTTTGTTCTCTGTAATAATTGATTCATTTATGATGGCCTTATTAGCTTTCTAGAAAACATCATTCACATAAACCATTGATAACTGTGAGTCATATAAACTTCTCTACCTATCTTAGGAACTCCGCCTGGAGTCCCTCCGGAGGCTACTGCCAGTCCCGAGCCCGGATCAATGAGGAAGGTTGGGCATGGGGTTAACGACCCCATCCCGTAGAAAACTAACTCTCTAAAAAAACGCTAACCAGAGAAAAAAATGATTCAAACCATTTAAACTCTGCCCTGGAAGTCAGAAGATCTTCATTCAGAAGAATTATAATACCTCATGATGAAATTTGATTTCCTTCAGAAGTCACGAGGCCGATGCCTCTTCTGACAGCCAGAGTAATTATTTATGGGACTGGAAGAATTTTCTAAATTGTTACAGAAATGAGAAGATATAACCTATCTTGGGATATATTCAAAGAAAAGAAATAAAATTATCAATATGAAGATCATCCAATGGTGTTTTACTATCCAAAGAATAACTGAAATCTTTACAATGAAATTATTCTATTCAAGTATAGTAACATAATCATAGACAATAATTATAACTTACCATTTAATTGTTTTAATGCTGTAATTGCATCAAAACGATTATAAAAATGAACAAATGCATAATCACGAATTTTTTTAACACGTTCAACAGCATTTATTGAATGAATTGCATGATTGAAATAATCTTTTATAGAATTTTCTGTTGTATGTAACATTAAATTTCTAACATATAATATACGAACCTATATAAAAAAATATAAAATCAATATAAGTAGTATAATATTTGTAGTGTAAACAATGATGGATAGTGATTAACAGTGGAATTCTATTTGAGACTCATCAATTGGATGTACCTATATCTCAGAGTTGATATTCACTCTAGGATGGATTCGAACTCAATATCATTCGTTTCAAACGATATCGCATTATCCACTTAGATAATAACTCCTGATAGCCACTTACTTATTCAATGGGGTGAAGTTTAATTCATTTTCTATTATTTTACTTGAATCTTTCAATTGATGTTTAAGACTGTAATTCATCAATCTCTTAATGGAATATATGCATTCTAATTGTATTGCCTTAATTTAAAAGCATTCTATGCAAAGATGGATGGATAGTGGCTAGTAGTGGAATCCAGTTTGATGTGAGTTTCATCCTATTTTGGATTCGTCAGCTGGATGTACCTACATCTCAGAGTTGATGTTCACTCTGGAAGGGACTCGAACTCAGTATCATACGCTTCAAATGCCATCACGTTATACACTCAGCTACTGAACCCTGATAAACATTTGCTTGTGCAATAGGATGAATTTAAATTCACTTGTTATTGTTTGGCTTGTATCTTTCTATTGAGGTTATCAAAACTGCAATTGATCGGTCTGTTATTGGCATATGTGCATACTATCCATCATTGCTTACACTACAAAAAGCTTGTGAATGAAGGCAATATCAAGGCAATGTGTACAGTATGCACATATGCCAATAACAAACTGATCAATCGTAGTCTTGATAACCTCAATGGAAAGATACAAGCCAAACAATATCAAGTGAATAACTAGTATAAGTTCAATGATAGAATATAATGAAGTTTACTTATGAGAACTTTTCATTTATTATCAAATATAGACACTTGAAAGTTTATGGAAATGATGTCACAACAAATTCAAAGATGTACCGTAAACAAGTTCTCAAATCTGTTTATATTGTACTTTCGCCTGTAGAGGTTAATGTATTCAATGAGAATGTTTCATATTGTTTCGTGCATATATATCAGCTTAATTTTCGAGTTGATGAAGAGAGATGTCTGTGAAAATTGTATCTTTTATGGCGCTCGGTTTTACTTTGTCTACTGTTATGGGACGTTAGTTTACCTTAGACGAATATCTACACTAGATTCTCTCCAAGTGTTTATTCTACAGGACTTTAACACAACTCAAATGATCAAGAACACGTGATTAGCCTGATCACAATGTAAATATATTTCCACACACTGTTGTGGCCATTCTTTTCCAGTTCTGTCCAATTCTTGTTCGTTTTTCTCATGTCTGTCTCCGTTTCTCAGAGTAACGTATTCTTTGATCTTCCACTTTTTTATTTGAACTTGAGGATTCCATGTGAGGGATTGCTTTGTGACACAATTAGATGCTTTTCTCAATGTGTGTCTTATCCAATTCCAGCACTTCTTCCTGATTACTTCCTCTACTGGAATCTAGTTTGTTCTCTCCCACAGTAGGTTATTGTTGATAGTGTCTGGCCAACGGATCTGAAGTAATTTGCGTAGACATCTGCAAATAAACACTTGTATCTTTGGCATGATGGCTTTCGTAGTTCTCCAAGTTTCCGCCCAATACAATAGAACAGTCTTGACATTTGTATTGAACATTGTGACTTCGGTGTTGGTTGCCAATTGTTTTGAGTTCCAGATGTTCTTCAGTTGTAAATATACTGTTCTTGCTTTGCCAATCCGTGCCTTCACATCTGCATCAGATCCACCGTGTTTATCGGTGGATGCTGTGTTATATCGGAGAATCTTGCTTTTCCCTTCATGTATGTTGAGACCTGCTGCTTCTGAGGCTGCTGCTACACTGGTCGTCTTCTCCTGCATTTGGTGTTGCGTTTGCGATAGAAGAGCCAAATCATCTGCGAAGTCTAGATCATCCAACTGCATCCTAGATGCTCACCGCTTCCCGTGCTTCCCTTCAGATGTTGACGTCTTCATGATCCAATCGATCAGCAGAAGAAAGAGAAAGGATGAGAGTAAGCAACCTTGCCTGACACCAGTCTTTACTTCGAACGACTTTGTCAACTGTCCTCCATGCACGATTCTCCAGTTTAATCCATTATAGGAATTCCGTATGATATTGACTATCATCTGAGGCACGCCGTAGTGTCGAAGAAGCTTCCATAGTTTTGTTCTGTCCACGCTATCAAATGCTTTTTCATAGTCAATGAAGTTGATGAAGAGTGGGTGCTTCTTCGATGTTGGGTGGATTCAGTAGAGCTGGTCGATTCAAGAGTTCTTTGAAGTGTTCTACCCTCCTGATTCGCTGTTCTTCAATGTTGGTGATTACCTTGCCTTTATTGCTTTTCACTGGTCGTTCTGTTTTACTATAGTTTCGGGAGAGTTTCTTTTCTGTATCATACAATTGTCTCATGTTTCCTTCTCTTGCAGCCTTTTCTACCGTCGTCGCTAGATCTTCCACATATTTACGTTTGTAAGTTCTGATGTTCCTCTTCACTTGCTTGTTCACTTCTGTGTATTCAGCTTGTGATTTGGCTTTATCTGCTCTTGTTCGGCTAATTGACTGCAGCCTATCGTAGCATTGTTGTTGTAGTCATTGTTTGGAGCATAGCACTAGATAATGTTCATTGTGATGCTCCATTTCTTCGTTTTGAAGAAGGATTTGATGATTCTGGGTCTATGAGATTCTCATCCTACAAGTGCATTTTGTGCTTGTTTGGATAGCATCAGTGTAACTTTTGTATATAATGGAGCATTTTCATCTTCATAGCCGAAGTATAACAGCAGCTCCCCTGAAGTTAGTCTTTATTGTCCAATCTGCATCCAATGTGTTTGACTGATTTTAAGCACCTTCATATTGTATCTTTTCATTTCTGCAGCAATTTGGATGATTCTCAATAATCCACACTCATGCTGGGTATTTTCTATCGGTATATATGTTAAAGATATTAAACCCTACTGACGATCAAAGGTTGATGTATGTAGATTCCAGTACCTGAAGTTCATGAATGATACAACAATGTTTGTTACAAAAAAAAATTGGATACGGTGCATGAAAGATTAGAAATTTATTGAAAAGTAAGTTAGTATTTTGTCTGATTTATATCCTTCTGTTAAAAAGAATAAAATTCTATGATTGTTTAGAATAATCATATCATACTACCTACCATTTTATAGTAGTTTGTCAATTTCTACAAAAAATAAAATAACCGTAATATCAATAAGCTAATTTCATAATAGGACGAAACGGCCGTCCAGTGCTTCCAGGTTTTACATGATGGTCTAGCTTCAATGGATTTATGATTTCAACCAGTGTAATTTCATTTAATTTATTTTGTATTGTTTTTACATGAATTTTTCCATTGATGTTTAAGACTGAAATTGATCCATCTCTTAATGCCATATATGCATCCTGTTTCGTTCTATTTGGGACTCGTCAGCTAGATGTACCTATATCTCAGAGTTGATGTTCACTCTAGGAGGGACTCGAACTTAGTACCATTCCCTTCAAACGCAATCGAGTGATCCATTCAGCTACTGAGTCCTGATAATTACTTGCCTGTGCAATAGAGTGAAGTTTAATTCACTTTGTATTATTTTATTTGAATCTTCCCATTGATGTTTAAGACTGAAATTGATCCGTCTCTTATTGTCATATGTGTATACTCTACGTATTGCCTCAATATTGCCTTAATTTACAAGCGTTATTAGGAATGATAGATAGTGACTAACAGTGGAATATAGGATACGCGTTTCGCCCTATCTTGAATTCGTAATGATGTTTAAACCGACTGATACCCGGTTCGAGTCCTAGACTATACATCAATTCTGAGATGCTAACTACATCCACCTAATAAGTCTTAAATATTAACTGAAACTTCAGTCACGTATTTCACTGTTAACCATTATCCACTTCTATTTATAATTTCATTTAAATTATTATATTTTAAATAAACTTACTTTTGACATAATATTTTCATCTACTTGATGTTCTGGTTCTGCCCAATCTACCATAATTTGATATCCCTATAATTGTATACGTCCTAGAATTAATTTACGTCTAGCCATAGCAGCTTGTTTATGATTATCATATTCAATAATAATGCCATATATGCATCCTGTTTCGTTCTATTTGGGACTCGTCAGCTGGATTTACCTACATCTTATAGTTGATGTTTACTCTAGGAGGGACTCGAACTTAGTACCATTCACTTCAAACGCTATCGCGTTATCCACTTAGCTACTAAGTTCTGATAGCCACTTGCTTGTTCAATGGGGTGAAGTTTAATTCACTTGATATTGTTTTACTTGAATCTTCCCATTGATGTTTAGGACTGAAATTGTTCAGTCTCTTATTGGCATATGTGCATACTGTGCATATGCCTCGATATTACCTTAATTTACAAGCATTATAAGCAAAGATGGGTAGTGGCTAGCAGTGGAATGCAGTTTGACGCGCGTTTCGTCCTATTTGGGACTGGTCAGCTGGATGTACCTGCATCTCAGAGTTGATGTTCACTCCGGGACTCGAACCCAGTACCGTCCGCTTCAAACGCCATCGCGTTATCCACTCAGCTACTGAGTCCTGATAGCCAGTTGCTTGTGCAATGGGGTGAAGTTTAATTCACTTGATATTGTTTTTGTTTTTCATTTGTTTGAATCTTCCCATTGATGTTTAGGACTGAAATTGTTCAGTCTCTTATTGGCATATGTGCATACTGTGCATATGCCTCGATAATTACCTTAATTTACAAGCATTCTATGCAAAGATGGATGAATAGTGGTTAATAGTGAAATTCAGTTCAATACGCGTTTCGTCCTATTTGAGACTCATCAAGTATATTCCACTATAAACCATTATCCACTTCTATTTATAATTTCATTTAAATTATTATATTTTAAATAAACTTACTTTTGACATAATATTTTCATCTACTTGATGTTCTGGTTCTGCCCAATCTACCATAATTTGATATCCCCATAATTGTATACGTCCTGGAATTAATTTACGTCTAGCTATAGCAGCTTGTTTATGATTATTATATTCAATAAATGCAAATCCTCTATTCTTTGTTTTATCTATTAAATTTGGATATACAATAACATCTTTAACACCATTTGTTATTTTAGATATTTCTATGAATATATCATTTTTAGTTTTTATTTTAGGAATACCTCCAATAAATAAACGACAATTATCTATACTTAAACAAATCCCTAATTGTTTACCTTTACGTATTTCATAACCATTTAATTTATAGATAGCACGTTTAGTATCATTATGATTTGTATATAAACAAAAACCATAACCACGATTTAATCCATTAAAATCCATCATTAAACGAAACATATAAATTTGTCCAATTAATTCAAAAATTGGTATAAGTTCATCTTCATAACAATCACGTGGTATTTTCCCGATGAATATTTCACAACCTTTTGATGGTTTAGGTCCGCACCAATTTGGTGGTGGACCATAACAACGTTGACCATTTTCTTGTAATATTGGATAGGATGTACGTTCAGTTAAAGCAATTAATGCATGTTCATGAGACATAAACAGGTTACTATGATGAGAAGTAGTATCTTTTAGAATAGATGGAATAGAGGATCTATCATTTGATATACTTGTAGGTAATAATAAATTGTTTCTTATTGTATCTATTGAATGGATTGAATTGGATATCATATTGAATTTATGATTATGATTATCATTATAGTTTATTGAGTCTTTGGTAGATATAGTTTCCATTTTTCAGAACAATAAGGGGAATCATTCATGATTATAATTCAATTCTTATAATGATTGTTTGTTTTGGCAATTCAGTATAGCGATTTATTCATCTATATCAATTATTCATGATTCAGTTCATTTAAAATCATAATACTGAAATGAATAAACAAATATGTTATTATTATGATTATTTGAACACATAAATATTGGTAAAAGAGTGCACTCAATATATATGCACCATACAGATCTGATTGGATATGTATAAGGGCTGGGTTACTGTTTGGATGCCTAAACCGAAGCAGATGGTTTTCTTAGGCGGCCACACCTCGAGTCTTTCACTTGTAGATCTGATCCATAAGGCAGTGGAGCATTGTAAGGAGATACAGTCCTATGGTAGTTGATGACCAAGAAATTGGTTCATACGCCATTTGTTCCCTTAAGGATACTGGAGCCAGCTCATGTGCACTATTGATTTGGGATCCGGTTAAAGCCGGTGCCGGACATTCGCTTATCGTCCTATCATTTTCGTAGACAACACCCCGGCCACGAGAAAGCAATCAGTATGACTTCCCTCACAGAGCCTTTTTGCGCGTGACCGTGTGAAAACATTTCCAGAGGGAGGGAAGGCTCACCCCTCTCATGGCCATACCAGCGCAATTATGGGCCAAACAAATATGAAATTGATGAAAATTCAAAGTAATTAGTCCATTTGATAAACTTCAATCATGTAATAATAAAAAGACAAAGATTATCAGAACTATATGATGAGATATTAGAGCAATACATTTTGAACAATCTAATTACACATTACATACTTGTCAAGAACACTTATATATAATGAAATAAAAGGTCAACTAGACTAGAAATGGAGGGTAACAGGAGACAAGGATAATAATGATATTTTTCAATGAGATCATGAACCGATAGATGTTAGACCACCGTTGGAAACCTGGAAGCACTGAATGGTGGTTTCGTCCTATTGTGGGACTCCTCAAATAATAATAATAATAATAATAATAATAATAATAATAATAATAATAATAATGTGAACACAACTTGAAACCTTATCACTCTACGGATAATAAGTTAATATTATCAGGAGTAGGTTTAAGGTATGACTAAGGCTTCAATAAATCTTAGTATACACCCCTTTTACACTTTTATACAATACGAAAGACTCGGTGGTCTAGTGGTTAAGTGCTCCCGAGCGTAAACCAGTAAGTCCTGGGTTCGGATCTCTCAGGGGGCAGGGTCGTGGATGCGCATTGCTGAGGAGTCCCATAATAGGACGAAACGGCCATCCACAAAACCCCTTCTGATAATATCACAATCACCGGGTTTAGATCAATCTTATACCCTGTTTCAACTATATATGTGTTAGTAATAGAGGATGATGGATGTTTATCCTCTGCTCTTATTAGGTCACTTGATTGTATTTGTTTCTGCAACCATTTGGGTATATGCTCACTCACCCGAATGTTGAGATTACGATTGCTTCTCCTTATGTATGTGTGACCACATACACATATTTAAATTGGTAAACACAATGGGATGTGACACAATCGTTTTCTGGTTGTGATGAAAATTCACTCTTAGTTATAATAAAAATTCTCATTGGTAAACAGAAAAGAACCGATTTGAGAGTAGAAACTTTTTTTACAATTTGTTATTCCACTGGTTGATATCATGAGTCAATTGAAGATAAGACCATCATGGAAAATCTGGAAGCAATGGATGGCTGTTTCGTCCCAGTATAGGACTGCTCAGTATTATGCATTCACGATCCCGCTCCCCACAAGATTCGAACCCAGGAACTATCAGCATCGTGCCTGGCGACTAATCAACTAGACCACCGAGCCAGCATCCAACGGTGTTAACTAGTTATTCATCATGAGTCTACAATAATATATATATATATATATATATATATATATATGTATATATATGATTTCTAACAATCAAATGATACTCATTGAGTAGTTATGTTACGTAATAATTATAATTATAATTACACCAACACCATTGGATGCCAGCTCAGTGGTCCAGTAGGTTAAGCGTTCGCGCGCAAGACTGAAGGCCCTGGGTTGGAATCCAGCGAGAGGGATCGTGGATGCGCACTGGCACGGAGGAGTCCCACAATAGGACGAAACGGCTGTCCAGTGCTTCTAGGTTTTCAATAATGGTCTAACATCAATCAGTCCATGATCTTAATCAAAACTTAACAATCTCCACAACCCCTATGCTGGCATTATTTTTAACACTGAGAACAGAGGCAATAGACAGTCATTTCATTTCTTTACGGGATTCAACATCACCACTGGTGTTAGTTGATTGATAAGATTAATTACATGTTGACTTCAGTTGCAAATGTGTGTCATTACATGGATTCTAATGGTTATGAATTTTTTTGCATGATTTAAAGATCATTGCCACTGTCTTGGAACGGCGACTGGATACTCGTTGCTATGGAGCCTTATAAGAGAATGAGACAGTGGTCTAGTATTATCTAACTTTTATCAGTACCTCTACTCAGGTCATTCTATAACTATTACCACTTACAAGTGCATATGAATATACATGATACTAGTGTAGTGTACAAGAACACCAATGGGGGGGGACAATCGAATGTATTTGACAACAAATTACAGAACTAGTTAGTAAAATCTAACAACCATATGTATAAATGGTCAATTCGCAAAATGCCCATCAATTGTCTCAAAAAAGACTCAGACTTCCTTTGTTCTTGCATTTTCACACAAATTGCATTCTGTCTTCATTCTTTACTGTTAGATCTTCTTGTCTCTCTGCTGCCAGATATTCTGTTCACGACTAACATCATATACTACTTATATCTACATAAGTAGCACAAACCACACTCGTTCTCCCTTTAATGCAGTCGTTCTCGCGGTGGTTCATCCTCGCCGTGCAACATTCTTCTTTTCTGCAGTCTATGCTACGTCCTCCGTCAAAATGTCCAGTATGCGGCGCGCTGACCACTATAGGTCCGTCAACGTGCCGGGGCACCAACATTCGAAATTTACCTGGCATCTGGGACGTATATCACTCGTGCTCCATCGGCCTACTGAGTCATTTACATTCGATGTCCGCCCAGCAGCCACACGTCCCATCGCTCCTCTCATATACTACTTATATCTGGATAAGTAGCACACATCACACTAGTAGTCAATTATGATGTTTACAAAAGAACAATTAATAGTATATATGTACTTTTCCAATTTGTATTTTAATCTTTATCATCATTTCTACTGATTTAGTAAGTCACCATGGTATATAATTGACCTTATTTGGAAAAAAAAGATTTAATCATTCTAGTTTGTTTCAATGAACAACTAATAATAACATAAGAGACTTCATGTAAAGTACTTATCATGAATGGTTGATAGAGTATAGATAATCATAATCATAACTGTTCTTATTATTAGTAGTATCATTGATATATATATGTATCTACATAGTGAAGAAGAATAACAAGCCTTAACATGATTATTGGGGTATCGTTGAATAATTAAATTACTGACTTCTATTACAATAAGAAACAAGAAATCTTGACTCTTTAATGCATTTCTAGTTTGTATAGTTTGTATATGATAATAAAGGTTGATACGTTAACTATTATGATACATTATGAAAACAAATAGAAGTCTATTGTCAAGTTATGAAGTTAAACATTTATGTGAAAGATCAAAGTTTCTAGTTTTAACTCTTGTGTACAAGATCATGAATGTACCACTTTTGAGGAGTTAGATGGTGATTGGAGGTAGTCAACAGATAGTCGATGGCTTTCCTGTCGACTACCTCTACCCATCGCCATCTAATCTCACAATAGTGCACACAGTGTCAGGTTACCTAGATCGGTGGTCACATTGTAACATGGTTGATAGCATTTGATGTGGACTAATAATAAGGACTAGATAAGCATGACATTGATCACCACCCAGTGATTAATCAATTGCGATTACATCTCAGTCCTACAGGAGGTCAGTCGCGGCCCGGATAGCTTAGTGGTAACGTCTCTGACTGTGAAGCTGGCTGACACGGGATCAAATCCTCCAGGGAGCACCAGTTCCCTCAAAGATTACAGGTACACCTTGCTAATGAATGCCAAGTAGCACGAAACCCGGGTCCAGGGTTTCCTGTCGACTACATCCAACCACCATCTAATCTCAACATAGTGCATGCAGTATCGAGTCACCTAGACTGGTGGCTACATTGCAACATTCGATCTGCACTAATAATAAGGACTAGACAAGCATAACATTGATCATCACCCAATGATTAATCCATTGTGTCTGTTGAGAAGTTTCATATATTTGGACGAAACGGTTGTCCAGTACTATCAGGTTTTCAATGATGGTCTAGATGATATTGACTTGTGATACTTGTTTGATTCAGGCAAGTATTTGGTAATATTCAAAACCAAAGATTGAAATCCATCTCATTTGTTATTATGAAAAACTATATATATTTAGATTATTACAATATTTCTTGAAGCCGATTACTTTGTTTGGATTGTACAACTAAGAAAAACATACATGATATATGAAATGCTGTACTGATAAGGTGTGGTAACTTGAACCGATGCATGTATGTACCTGTTCATACGTTGTCACTGACTAAAAGACTGATCGAAGAAAGAAAGACTACTTATTACGATTCATACGTGACATAATAAATATAAATGATGAATTGCTGACCCAATATTGTAGTAAACACAGGTATACCAGTAGGGACAGTCGAACTTGTAATTGAAAATCTAACAACCACATAGTAAATGCTCAATTTGCAAAATATCCATTAATTGTCTCAAAATGATTCAGACTTTCTTTGTACTTGCATTTTCATACAAATTGCATTCTGTTTTCATTTTTTACTATTCGATCTTTTTGTCTCTCTGTGCTGTTAGACATTCAGTTCACCAGGCACCTGGGACGCCTAAAACCCGTTCTCCACCGACCTGCTGAGCCATCTAAATCGGATCTCCGCCCAGCAGCCACACTTCCTACCGCTCCTCTTTGTTGACAGCACCCGCTACAGCCAACGCCGCCTCGCCACTAGACGCCACTTCTCTGCACTATACTGCCCCAACCTGCATCTTAGATCCAGGCCCGCAACGGCGTCCACAGAACAGCACC